TTGAACTAAAGTTATTATGACCGAAACTTAGGTCTCATCCCTTCATCTTCCAGAGCCCCTTACCCCTCACAGGGATAAATCATCGCCAAGCACCGTTTGGTGAAAACTTCTTATCACACTTGACAATAACAACTTGTCATTTAGCTTTCGAATCACGGGCATGGCCGAACAAGTGTCTTTTTGATAAGGACGTCCGGCTGCTTTGTTCAAGTCACTGCGGACGAGACAGGCTGGATTTATTAGAGAAGTGAGCATCAGCCAATATTTTTTTTTTTTTTTTTTTAATCAAAGCACCCAGTTGGTCAAAAAATGAACATTGAAACCAAAGCAAATTATAATTTATGGTTTAGAAATTTATTGCAACTAGCATGTCTGAATGAACAAGTCAAACTAATTCGCTCTTCAGAAAAATTATAAAAGTGAAAAACTTTCCGAAAAGTTACAAATATTTAAATTATAACGTTACCTACATGAATAAAAGACTTTGGAATATAAAGAGGTTATTTTGAAAGTTAAGATTGGCCTTGAATCTTAATTATAAACCGTAGATGACAAGCATAAACCATAAAATGTTCGTTAGGGTATTTAAATAAAGAATAAAATACCTTTTCTATAGTTTTACCTTTAAAAATATATCCTTTAAGTTGACGAAGTTAATTCATCACTGGTGTAATTGATTCATCAGTGGATATTGGAAGGATCTAGTATTATTTAATCTTTATTAATATAGAAACATGTTAGTATATTTTTTCCGTCAAATTAACCCTTTTTAATTTCGAAATAACCCTTTCTTTAAAGCAATAAAAAACTTAGGAGTTGGTATGAAATATATAAGCATGAAAAGTAAAACTCCTCTATATGAGAGCAAGTTATGTATATTTTTCTCGTCAAATTAAACATTTAAAGTACAAATTAACGTTTGACTAAATTTATTTTATAGTATAAAATAATTGGGATATTATAAGACCATAGTCTTATAGAATGAGACCCTTAGTCATTTAAAATTAATAACATTTAATATTTAAATTTGAAATTAAATGTAAGAGCAAATGATTCTTCAATTAATACCAGATTTTTCGGCTATTTCCCCCCATCAAATTAACCCTTTAAAATTTGAAATTATCACGTTTAAACTTCAAATTTATGTTTTTTCTTATTTCTAAATTTTCTTCTGACGAGGTTATTCCTCTTTTATATTGTATTATTAGTATTTAGTATTGTACATTTATTAGTATAGTTTGATTATTAGTATTATTATTGTTATTTGTTATTATAAGTATCCATTTATTAATACTTTTACATATATATTTATATTCACTATATAAATTTGTAACAGTACAGGATGTATTCAAATAAATAAATCAATTTAATTTAAAAAAATCAAATTAACCCTTTCTTTAAAGCATTAAAAACCCATGAGATGGAATAAAATTCAAGCATATAAATTGAAATTCTTGAATATTTGAGAATTTTTTGTTTTTTTATTTGACTGGTAATATCTAAATTGAATAGCTTTTTCACGACAAATAAACTCTTTTTTTCCTATCAAATAAATCCTTTTTAATTTGAAATTAACATTTTTCAAATACAAAATAACGTTTTTTTAATTTCAAATTAGCCCTTTAGTAAACTTTAAAGCGTTAAAAACCCGAATAGATTAAACGAAATATAAGCATGTAAAGAAAAAATCTTGAATAATTGAGATTTTTTTATTTGACTGATAACTTGAATTTAAAAAAATCTTGAATAATTGAGATTTTTTATTTGACTGGTAACAAGTTAAATGGCTTTTTCCCGACAAATTAACCCATTTTAGATTAAAATTAACACTACCCAATTTTTAATTTCAAATTAACCCTTTCTTTAAAGCATTAAAAAAAACTAGGAGATGGAGTGAAAAATAAGCATGTAAAGTAAAATCTAGAATTGTTGAGAATTTTGTTTTAAATCGTCTGGTAACAAGTTACAAAGTTTTTCCGTCCAATTAACCCTTTTCTCCAGCAAATTAGCCCTTTTTTTAATTTGAAATTAACACTTTTAACTTCAAATATACAATTTTTAAATGAACCCTTTTTAATTTCACATTAAACGATTTCCCCGTCAAATCGAACTCTGTTTAATAAATAAATATCCAAGAATTTTACTTTACATGTTTATATTTCAAATGAAGAAACTTTTAATTTGAAGTTAAATGGGTAATTTGACAGATAAAAGAATTTAATTATTAGTTTATTATTTACTCTTATTGGTTCTTTTTATTCATTTCATCGTTAATTTTCTTGGTCGCTACGTTTTATACTACTTATTTTTTTTCTTTACTTTATTGTTATGATTTAATTATTTCTGTAGGCCCTGGCATAGAGATTAATTGATTACATTGATGCTTGCTGAGGAGCATTTTTTAAGTTATATACAATTTACCTATATAAATTACAAAATAATCATGAAAATGCATCTATAAAAAAGTTTTTTAAAATTAAACCAAAGAAATATTGAAAATCATTGCTCGTGAGTTACGTGTAAAAAGTTTGAAAAACAATTAATTCATATTAAATCATTTATTATTCCTGTTTTTCAAAATATGCTGTGTTCACGGGCGTTTTGTCTTGAGAAAAGAAACCATTTTTTCCGAAACGTCGGCCAAATGAAATAGAATCGACAGCACATCTTAGTGAATAAGTAGAAATCATTTATAATATTATAATTTTATAATTCTTTCTAAATGGAAATAAATATGCTCGAACTTATCATTAAATGGCAAGGACGAATATTTTTAAAAACTTTCTCAATTTGTTTGGTCAAAAAACAAGGATTTTTTGTGGTCGAAAGGCTAAAATTAGATCTGTTTTATACGCAATATTTTTTAAACATACAAACCAAAAGATTTACATTAAAAAAGTGGAAAAGTTATTTCAAAATTTACAAGACAAACAATACACAAATACGATTTTAAAACGTAGAAGAGTTCCACTGATTTTAATATCAAAGTATTGACTTTTTACCATTTTTATCGACCACGAAACAAGTCAAAACAGATCCCTATAGAATTATTATATTTAGCCTCAAAAAATGTTTTGTCTCCTCTGGAGTTCCTCAAGACTCCTTTGCTCCTTCATATATATATATACACGTTATAAACTACCGTACAATTAATTAAGGTTTTTAGTTGAGATAAAAAAGTCATTGTCACGAGCGGGATTCGAACTCACGACCTTCGGCTTCAAACGCCGCTACTCTACCACTGAGCTATCGTGACTTCTAAGACTGAAGCTCAGTGGTAGAATAGCGGCGTTTGAAGCCGAAGGTCGTGAGTTCGAATCCCGCTCGTGACAATGACTTTTTTATCTCAACTAAAAACCTTAATTAATTGAACGATACTAATTGGTCAAGCGGACCACGAAAAATAGTGAAGATTATAAACTACATTTCCTATACATTTTCCACACTTTCCTGATAATGTTAAAATCTTAAATTCTGTAGAATTGAAATCAAATGATCCTTTGATGTGAAGAAATGTGTACCTGTATACATTTTCACGAATACACTAGAAATCGGTCTGGATTGAAAAAACAAATTCAATTATTATATGCCAAGCTTCCGATCTATTTTAAGGTCATCGTAAGGGCAAAACAACCTTAAATATGTCTACAAATTGACGATTAATTTTTAATATATGGTTTCAAATTTCTTTGAAGATAGGACCAACATTTCCAAGAACATTTGTCCCTCTGGAGTCCCTCAAGGCTCACATCTTTGTCCTTACTTGTTTATATTCTTTACAAACGACATTTCATATTGCTTGACAATGTTACTGTGTCGGTCTTCAAAGAAATTTTAAATCATCTAATAAAAACTTAATTATATCAATTTGTAGACATCTTTAAGATTTGCCAAGGACTTTTGTCCACTCTGGAGTCACTCAAGGCTCACATCTTTATCCTTTCTTGTTTATATTCTTTATAACGACATTTCCTATGGCTCGGCACTGTTGCTGAATCTAACTTCAACGAAATTTGATACCATCTATTAAAAACTTAATTATATCTGTTTGTAGACATCTTTAAGATTTGCCAAGGACTTTTGTCCCCTCTGGAGTTCCCAAGGGTCACATCTTTGTCCTTTCTTGTTTATACTCTTTATAAACGACATTTCCTATGGCTTGGCACTGTTACTGATTCAACTTCAAAGAAATTTGATACCGTATATTAAAAATTTAATTATACAATTTTTAAACATCTTTAAGATAGTTTTGCTCTAATGATGACCTTAAAATATGCCGAAAGCTTAGCAGATGAAAATGAACTGGTTTTTTTCCTAACCAAACAGAGATGCAGAGTATTCGTTGATAAAAACGTGGTCGATTCATCTACCACTTTAAACTGTTACATTCTCCCACTATGATTTAAGTTTTTTATGGTTATCCATTATTTGGATTTAGCTTAAAGAACGTAGATTAAAAGAAAGGAGATTAAAGAATAATCATTTGAATTTTAAGACTCATGTTGATTAACTACAAAATTTCAAAGGCTCTTTCTTCACGTTTTGTAATACAGTGGTCTTATTTGAATTCCAGAAGCGTTTTGCGTATAGTTTAGTATAGAAAGGCTGGAGTATTTGGTAGTACATTTTCTAAACTAAAGACTCAACATTCTTCGCCTACAAATTGTTACAAGACTTGTTGACTGTCTTGATCTTCTATACCATCTTAATTTCCATATCCCTGCTTATAAAACCAGACATTATCTCAATTTCATATGTATATACGGTTTAGAACTAAAAAACGTATAAATTGTCATGTAGGAATAGGTTCTTTTTAACCAACAGGAGACAGAATTGAAAAAATATATGCTGCTTTTGACTTACTGATCATCCTGATGTATGTTTTATGTTTAGGAGTAGATTAAGGTGTCGCACAGCACGAAATTGAATTAAATGTGCAAAAATGCGACTCCGTTTGATCGTGGACAAGAGACATGCGTTGAGTTGAGAGATGAACTTACGTCAAAGTAGGTGTCCGTCGTCCGGTGTGGAGAGTTCGGATCCGGGTGTCGGCTCCCTGGCATCGTCGGTCAGGTCTTCAGGCGAGGGCGAGACGGAGACGCTGATCGGTGACAGCATATCCTCCAGTTTCAGCGCTTTGAGAGGCGGGGGTGCGAAAGCCGAGGGCACGGAGGCCGGGAAGGGTACCGGGTGGAAAAACTGAGGCTGGAGCTGGTGTAAAAAGTGTGCCGGGAGGCCCGGGTAGCTCTCCATCAACCTCAGACCGAAACCGCCTCTCCCGCTCAGTGGGATTTGGAGCTCTTTGTTATCTTGGCCCTGAAACAAACGTGACGCCCAATGAAACGGTTCGAGTCGTCAAAAAACTGTCAAAAACAGGGTTTTTTTTATAATAAATTTTTCCAAATATACACCAAAACATTTTCATTTCACAGTTAACCCAAGAAAAAATAAATCTTTTGAAAAATTTACTTTCTTCTTTAATTTGTCGTACTCGTGAGGAGCGGTCAAGAACGAGGTAGTTTAGAAAAACACCTTTTTTTACTTTTTTGACCTTTATTCGGGTCATCTTCAGGGCGTGGGTAAATTACAAAACATATCTTGATTAGAAAAAATACAACTTAAGATGTAAATATAAATTTTGAAACCAAGCATTTCATACTCACATAAAATGTGGTGCTATTCTTGTGGTGTCGTATTGGTGTTGTGTTAGTCTTTTTTTCATATGTATGTGAATTGTATTTTCTTGTATTACATCTTAAATTGTATTTTTCTATGACCGCTAGTTTTACATGCAGGCCAAATTAAAAGATCAGTTTTCCTCATACTTCAATGCTGTACGTAGAATTGAGTTATAAAGTCAAAAATTAAATTTTAAAAAATCTTTGTATGCGTAAAAAGAAATTTTAAAAAAATCGAAAGGCAAAACCTAGTACAAAGAGGAAACTATACTAGGCATCCACCTTATGACTATTATTAAAATCAGGCGATTATTTAGTAGATTTTTTTAAATAAATAATCGGCCTTTTGATTTAATGTGGACTTAGGAAAGCCAAGTCCCGAAATATTCGAACAATCACAGGACTTAACCTCTACAATAAAAATTGTATGTTTCGAGGTTAGCATAACCTGATCCTATTTCACATCAGCAAGCAGTCCGTTAGAAAAATTTTTAGAAAAAACTAACCTTATTGTACATGTTACGAAGTGATGAGGAAATCCAAAATATAATTTTTACACGGATATAAGGCACTGTCCACACTTTAAGAAAAGTTTTACAACAAACATCCTCTTCAAGCACAGAGGAAAATTTTTAAAATTACGCGCTGGAAATAAACAATCGCATAGCCGTCGGTTGTCGTCACGTGGCGAGGGTTGAAGGCGAAATAACGGAGGGGATGTTTACACCCCCTTAAGTAGGCACGACCCCTCCACCCACCTCGCTACAACCAGTATTTTGGCCCACGCGCATCGTGCCAAAAAGTTATTTGAAACTGTTTCATTTCTAGGTTATTTGACAACTGAACGAAAGAGGTACTGAAATGAAAATAATGGGTTTTTTTGGTTTTTTTAAAGAGCGGGGTCTAAAATTGCAAATAAAATCTGTTCCATTCGGATTTCCAAGTTTATAAAGGGAACTTTTCATTTTAATGAATAAATTATAAAAAGCTTTCGTTTAATCACTCAATATATCTAGAAATAGCTCGCAGAACTCTATATTTAATTTTTGTGGGGTTTATCCTCAATTACACTGAGAAATATAAACTACACTGAGGTAGTAATAAATAAATAATAAACAAAGCCTACTGTGTGAATGAATATATTAGCGAGAATGGAGGACTTGCCCCGAGAAATATCGAGAACTCTGGGATAGTATGAACGAAGGCTGGTGTGCGAATGTATTTATTAGCGTAAATGAAGGGCTTATCCCCAAATACCCCAAGTAAATCCTGTACTCTGGGGTAGTGTGAATGTAATTTATTAAAGCGAATGGAGGGACTCATCCCCAATTGCCCCGAAGAATATCGAATACTTTGGGGTGGTGTGAACAAAGTCTGGTGTGTGATTACTTTATTAACGCGAATGGAAGAGCTCATCAAAATTATTCCGCGGAATATCGACTACTGTTGGTCGGTGTAACCAAAGTATGGTGTATTTATTTGGGCGAATGGAGGGGGCTTATCCCTAATTATCCCGAGCAATATCGACTTATGATGCAGTGACAACAGAGTATTTTGTTTGGATGTATTTATTAGCGTGAATGGAGGGAATAATTCCCAATTATCCCGAAAGATATCAACTATTATAAGGCAGTGTGAATTAGTCTGGTGTGTGACTACATTTATTAGCGGGACTTGAGGGGCTCATCCCCAATTACCCCTAGAAATATAAGTCTGGTGTGTGAATGTGTTTATTTGCGCGAATAGGGTGCATAGGGTGAATAGGTTAGCGCAAATGGAAGGGCTTATCCCCCAATTACCCTGTCAAACATCGCCTACTCTGGGATAGTATGAATGAAATGTGGTTTGTTATTGTATTTATTAGTGCGAATGGTGTGGTCACGATTTCCTCATTTGTGATCCTTTCTCACTGTGATATTGAAAAGTCTGTTTTAGTTGACAAGTTATGGTGCCCATGGTCTCTACTATTACTTCGAAACGTTGTGCTGTGAACCTTATATATTTTTAAATAACTTTATATTTTTTGGTTTACAAATTCTTTATCTCAAAATCTAGTACTTGAGGTTTGGGAAAGTTCGTTTGTATGCCTGCCTTTTCGCCCATCGTGAATATCTGTCTATTCAAACTATGCTTAGTGAATTTGGCTCATTCACATTTGTTGCTAGAAAGTTAACTACCACATTTTTTTTACTTTTTAGAGAATTTATTATTAATGCTATAGAAAGTGGTTCTCAGGTTTGAGTTTCGACCCCATGAGATTATTATTCAAGTTGAGTTGTCTGCTTAGGGGGAAATGTTTTTGAATGGATTCCTCCTTACATGTGTGACAGAAAAATGAATTTTCTTGCAATATAACAATATATGTATTGATTCTCTAGGGTTAACACCATTGCCCAGTACTGTTTATATTGTATTTGAACAATCTCTCCCTGATTCGAGTCAGACTTCCTCGGTCCAGACCAAGAATTTTACTTACGACCTTAACTCTCTCGATGACTATCGTGTTCTATGATGAAATTGTGTTAATTTTTGGATTGGTCATTCACTCTATATTAACTTTTGTTATGATATATCCAGCTGTCATAGTATATCTCGTGTCATCACAATCTGTCATCTTGGTGTTCTTCTTGATATATTTTCTAGTTTTCTGAACATATTCGCTTAGGGTTTTCTAAAGTTTTCAGGAAAACGACTGGCGTCTTGTTTCAAAAGTACTGCAATGGTTAAAAGGCTTTATTCCGTCTAGTACAGTACAGTATGTGTTGTCTGGAATCCTTACTATGCTTATGGTTTTGATGGCTTAAATCAAATACTGAAATCGTTGATTACTCGCGTGGGACCGTACATAAATCCAACACCAAATTTAAACATCATCGACAATCCCAAAGGCGATGCGGGGAATCGAAGTTAACACCTGACACTTGGACTTTATTGCGCAAGTACTGAAAACCAGCCCCCTCGGAAGTCTGGTACATCTTGAGTGCCTGTAGAATTTTATGAGATGGTAGTTGAAATAGCAGCGTTTAGGGAGGGTCTAACAAGACTCAACAACACCATCGAATTTGTCTGTTGATACACCATGCACCCCCTTATAAATTAACTTATGTCCATAATCTAAATTCAAACAATAGAATCGTTCTAGTCTTTCAAATTTGTTAACTGAACATATCTTAAGCCGTTGCTCAATGAGCTGCACCCACTGATCCGCTCATAAAATGTTCTATGCATCATTGTTTCTATTTGAGGACCCAGAGATCTTCTACTATTTCTTCGGTGACTTTCACAATAATGTGTCAAATGGGCAATTCTTATTATGGGGTACACAATATTCCGCCATCGGCCCTTTCACAATACACATTCACTCTAATAAATACATTCACTCTAATAAATACATTCACTCTCAATGTACACAAAGAAACACGAGACATCTATAAACCATATATGTACAAAAAATCAGTCTTGTTTACTCTATAAATCGGAACAGTGGACCCAAATACTCGCACAATTCTCATTCCAACACGCTCTCAATACAAAGCCAAAAAACTACACCCTTCAATTGGGTGGGAGGCATCGAGCACCCTTACTCTACATGCCAGACACAGAAGTAAGTGTCAACCTCGTATGGCCAATCCTTAATCGGATGAAGATCCTCCGAAAGCCGACCTCGTATCGATCTTCATAAATAGGAGCCAAGAGTTTAAAAATAAAATTTTCGTTTTTCAAATAGCCTACATCTTGCAGATTCAACAGTTCTATTTCGTAGATTCGATTTCATCAAAAATAAATTCGTTTGCAAATCGGTTCAGGCAAAAATGACTATGGGAACCCGATTTTCGATTACTTTTTATAGTTTTAACCTGACCATTTGTCATCGATTTCTTACAGTTTAATTAACATTATTTGAAGATTATTAAATATAAGATATACACGTGGAAATATTTGATTTGCAAAACGGTGAATATGATTTGCAAAAGAATGAATTTGATTTGCAAGAGGATGAATTTGATCTTCAAAATGGGGAATCGGATCTGTAAAAGGGTGAATATTATTTGCCAAAGAATGATTTTAATTTGCAAAAGAGCAACGTATTTGCAAAAGGGTGAATTTAAAGTGCAAACAAGTAAGTTTTATTTGCAAAATGGTAAAGTTGATTAAGAAAATAGTAAATTAAAATTGCGAGAGAGAAAATTGGATTTGCAAAAGGGTAAATTGATCTGAAAACAGGTGAATTTGATTTCCAAAATGGTGAATTTTGTTTTCCAAGGAGTGAAATTAATTTGCGAAAGGGCGAATTTGATTAGGAAAAGTGTGAAAATGATTTTCAAAAAGGTGAATTTGATTGCAAAGGTTCCATTGGACATGCAAAATGGTGGATTTGAATTGCAAAAGAGTGAATTCAATTAGCAAAAGAGACAATTTAATTTTCAAAGAGGGTGAATTTAATTTGCAAAATAAACTATTTTAATTGGAAAAACGGTGACTATGATTTGCCAAAGAGAGAAATTAATGTGCAAAAGGGTAAATTTGATCTGCAAACGGGGAATCGAATGTGTAAACAGTGAATATGATTTGCTAAAGTGTGAATTTAATTTTCAAAAGGGCGACATTGATTTGCAAAGGGTGAATTTAATTAGCTACATAGTGCATTTAATGTGAAAATGGGTGGATTTAATTTGTAAAAGAAAATTTTTTAATAGTGAATTTGATTGACCACAGGGGGAATTTAATTTGCAAAAGGGTGAATCTGATTGGCAAGATGGTGAATGTGATTTGCAATGGTGTGAATTTTACTGTGCAAAGGGTGATTTGCAAAACGGTTAATTTGATTTGCAAAAAGGGTGAATTTAATTTGTAAAAGAGACAATCTTAATTTGCAAAACAATTCATTAAATTTGCGAAAAGGGTGAATTTAATTTGTGAAACAATTTTAATTTGTGAAACAGTTCATTAGATTTGCAAAAGGGTGAATGTGATTGGCAAGATGGTGAATGTGATTTGCAAATGTGTGAATTTAATTCGCCAAAGGGAAATTTTATTTGCAAAACGGTTAATTTGATTTGCAAAAAGGGTGAATTTAATATGCAAAGGGGTGAATCTGATTAGCAAGATGGTGAATGTGATTTGCAAATGTGTGAATTTTATTCACCAAATGGGAATTCAATTTGCAAAACAGTTCATTAAATTTGCAAAAAGGGTGAATTTAATTTGCAAAAGAGACAATTTTAATTTGCAAATCAGTTAATTGGATTTGCAAATAGGGAGAATTTAATTTTCAAAAGGATGAATATGATTGAAAAGATGGTGAATGTGATTTGCAAATGTGTAAATTTTTCTCTCCAAATGTGAATTTAATTTGTATTGTAAACCCAGTGACATTTAATTTTTGTTCCGATCATGTGAGTGGCTAAATTTTTTTTACAAACTACATATGATATAATTTAGTCAAATTACATTTACATATAATTTAAATAAAATATTTGCAATATAATAAAGTGAAATTTGGTACAGGTTGTAATTTTTTACAAATTTTCATACGAAATAAATCATCAAAAATTCCAACGATTATGCCAGAAATGTCGAGTGTGTTGATATCTAAACAAACTTGAAAAAAGTTAATGTAATAAACCAAGAAAGAAAAATGAAAATTTTAATTTTCGAATTAAGCTAAAATTAAAATTTACTTTAAAAAAATGTAATAAATTGGTCACGAATGAGACAAGATTTTGAAATTAATCGGGAATTTTCTATGATGACGACGTGTTAAAGGTTAATGGGGGGGATGATCGCAAAATCGTAAGGAGACAGCGACAAAAGTTGCTTGGATGTCGATGGCAGGTGACTCTTCATCGGTACTTTTGACAAATGTCGTTTCTTCAGTTTTGAAAACTTCAATCGAGCAACCCGAAGCTGTTTCAGCCGGTGTGACTTCGGCGGATGAGGATTCGGCTCGGACGGACGGTCAATCCTCGATACTTAAAAATGAACTGTAATCCTCAAAATATGCTGAGATAATTGGACTACTCGGTACTCACCCACTATGTTCATGTTGTCACTATGAATCTTGGGTAATAAAACTCGGAAGCGGGATTATTTCAAAAGTAAACCACGTGCATATCCACGCTTCTTTGGAAAAAAGCCTGCCTACGACTCTCTTTCTCCTCTTTATTATTTATCCGGAGATAAAAAGTCCATTTTTTAAATAAAGATCGCGTTTAAATCCTTCCATGACTTTGTTTATAAACGGAGGATTCTGGTGTAGAAAACGGCACTGGCAGATCATCTCGACCTCTCCTTAAATCGATACCCAGCACGGTTGTGGGAGCAATTGCCATCTGTCGATAACAATTCCAACTGCAAAAGATCCTTTTTTTTTATTCAGCATTTTATTCATTTAATTTGGGTTTTGTTTTTAAAAAAAAATCTAATTTAAAGCTAGTAGTAGTAGTTTATTTATCTTCGGGGAGATCCCCATAGAAATAAATTTACGACTGCCGACCTCCTTTAAAAATTAAATTCACCCTTTAAATTCAGAATTTTGCTAATACAATTCACCATTCTGCAAATCAATTTCAATTTTTGCTAATCAAATTATTCCTTTACCAATTAAATTTTTTTGCAATCGATTTCACCTTTATTAAATAAAATTCACCCTTTTTTAAATAAAATTCACCCTTTTTAAATAAAATTCACCCTTTTTAAATAAAATTCTCCCTTTTCCAAATTGAATTCACTCATTAGCTGATCAAATTCACTTTTTGGAAATTATTTAAATTCTCTTCTTTTTTTTAAATCGATTTCACCCTTTTTTAAATAAGGTTCACCCTTTTGCAAATCAATTTCACTCTTTTCCTAATTGAATTCACCAATTTTCTGATCAGATTCACTCTGCAAATTATTTTTTTTGCAAATCAATTTCACCCTTTTCCTAATCAAATTCACTCGTTTGCTGATCAATTTCACTATTTACAAACTAATTGTTGTTTGCCAATCAATTTCAATTTTTGCTGATCAAATGATCCCTTTAACAATTAATTTTTTTGCAAACCAATTCACCTTTTTTAAATAACATTCACCCTTTTTTTTAATAAAATTTGTTTTTTGTTTTTTTCTAAATCGAATTCACTCGTTTGCTTATCAAATTCACTCTTTGGAAATTAATTTTTTTTAAATCGATTTCACCCTTTTGCAAATCAATTTCACTCTTTTCCTAACTGAATTCACTAATTTTCTGATCAGATTTACTCTGCAAATTAATTTTTTTTTTTGCAAATCATTTTCACCCTTTTCCTAATCAAATTCACTCGTTTGCTGATCAAATTCACTATTTACAAATTAATTGTTGTTTGCCAATTAATTTCAATTTTGCTCGTCAAATTATCCCTTTACCAATTAATTTTTTTTTGCAAACCAATGTCACCTTTTTTAAACAGCATCACCCTTTTTTTTAAATAAAATTCATTTTTTTCTAAATCGAATTCACTTGTTTGCTTATCAAATTCACTCTTTTGAAATTAATTTTTTTTTAATCGATTTCACCCTTTTTTTCAAAAACGTTCACCATTTTCAAAAGTGAATTCATTTGTTTGATCAAATTCACTCTTTGCAAATTAAATTCTTTTTTGCAAATCGTATTCACTCTTTTTTAGATAAAATTCACACTTTTTTCTAAATAAAATTCACCCTTTTTCAAATCAGTTTCACCCTTTTCCAAATCGAATTCACTAGTTTGGTGTTCAAATTAACCATTTACAAATTAAAAGTTTTTACAAATCAAATTCACCCTTTTGCAAATCAATTTCACCCTTTTCTAAATTGAATTTACTAGTTTATTGCTCTTTGCACTTCACATTTTTTTTTGCAAATCAAATAAACTCTTTTTTAAATCAAGTTCACCCTTTTGCAAATCGAATTCACTCTATGCAAATGAGATTTTTTTGCTAATCAAATTTACCTTTTTTTAAATAATGTTCTCCCTTTTTTAAACAAAATTCACCCTTTTTCCAATCAATTTCACACTTTTCCAAATTGAATTCTCTTGTTTGCTGATCACATTCACTCTGCAAATCAATTTTTTTTTTTTGTAAATTAGATTCACTCCTTTATTTATCAAATTCACCCTTTTGCTAATCAAATTCACCCTTTTGCAAATCAAATTTACCTTTTTGAAAATTAAATCCACTATTTTGGAAATCACTTTCACCATTTGCTGATCAAATTCACTGTTTTAGTAATCAAATTCGTCTTCTTTTCCTATTCTTTTTTCAAGTTAAATTCGCTCTTTTGCTTATTACATTCACCTTTCACAATTTTTTTTGCAAATCAAATTCACCAATTTTGAAACTCTAAATTCACCGTTTTGCTAATTTAATTTTCACCATTTTGCTAATTAAACTCACCCTTTTTAAAAATTTTCACATCAATTTCACCCTTTTGCAAATCAAATTTACCTTTTTGAAAATTAAATTAAATCCACTATTTTGGAAATCACTTTCACCATTTGCTGATCAAATTCACTCTTTTAACAATCAAATTCGCTTTCTTTACCTCTCGTTTTTTTCAAGTTAAATTTGCTCCTTTGCTTATTATATTCACCTTTCACAATTTTTTTGCAAATCAAATTCACCCATTTTGAAACTAAATTCACCGTTTTGCTAAATCAATTTTTACAATTTTGCTAATTAAATTGAACCTTTGCAAATGTTTTTCAAATCAATTTCACCCTTTTTTATAATAAAATTCACCTTTTTGCACATCAAATTAATCCTTGCAGAAATTAATTGTACTCTTTTGCGCATTAAATTCACTCCTTTGCTTATCAGTTGGCAAATCAAAAACAGCATGAAACTCAAGAAAAAACTGAATACATTTTTCCTTTAACAACTCTCTTGAACCAAATGTTATGTATACCAAATTGAAAGTAAAACCTACTATGTTTTGGCTAACAAGACAAATTCCATTCTATAAAAACCATTGTTTTAAGCATATGAAGTAAATAGTTTCTATTTGGGTTTTTATCAAACCAAATGTGTAATATCACACCATTTTCATGATATACAATATTTTTTGTCAAATTTGCAAAGAATCCACCTCATACATGCATTAAAATCAACTTGAGGAAACAGGTATAATTTTAATTCACTGTATATTTATCATGTCAGATTTATTCAAAATGGTAATTCAGATATCGTGAGATGCGGTCGGGTGTGATGTAGGTTTCAGAAAAACATTTTCTTTATAACGTTTCGATCTTTAAATTCACTAATTTCGTGGTCCGCTTGACCAATTAAATCATTACAATTAATTAAGGTTTTTAGTTGAGATGAAAAAAAGTTAATGGCACGAGCGGGATTCGAACCCACGATCTTCGGCTAGATACGCCGCTGCTCTATGAGGTGAGGTCACGATAGCTCAAGTGGTAGAGCAGCGACGTATCTAGCCGAAGATCGTGGGTTCGAATCCCGCTCGTGCCATTAACTTTTTTTCATCTCAACTAAAAACCTTAATTAATTGTTTCGATCTTTATTGAGATCATCTTCAGGGCCTGGGATTTACAAACAATGTTTTCATTTAACAAATACATTTAGGATATGGATAAGTGAATTTATACAATCCAAAGTTTATTCAAAATGTTTTACATACTTCAAGACACACAATTATTTAAATAAGATAAACTTTATACTTACAATTTATACTTCTCACTTTAAAGACGTGGAAGAATTAAAGAAATGGTAGACTTATTCTTTTAAATAATAAAATTTTAAGAACAGAAATGGGAGATTTACATTTTGCTGTCCTTTTCCTTTCAAATATTTTAATTAGCAATGTAATACCTATGAACAATATATTATTTAGCATCATAATGCTTCTTTAATTTTTTTTTTTTTTTACAATAAAAATTTATTTGGCTTAAAATCCATTTGAGCTTTGAGGTTTGGTGACAATTCATTTAATGAATTGACATATGTTATTGAAGAGGGTGTGGCAAATTGAGATCTTCTGCTTTTACGTACAGGAGTTACCAAGAACTCCTTTGCCACAGCGCCATCTGTATTATCTCTGAAAATTATATATTGTTAGCTCAAGAAAGTTAAAAGTTTTTAAACAGGATAAATCTGTAAATACAATGTATTCTTTAATTATTATAACCGACCCACTGGAGCACTGCGACCGACGGGAACCCTGCTACCCAAGCCGCAACCTGAGCGGCTTGTCACGGCAAGGCGACACCCAGCAGGATACCAAGAATTCTCTTTGAGAGTCTAAGCATCCCACCCAGGAACCACCAAGCCACGGAGTCATGGCAGAGTACACCAGAATCCCACAACCGACATCTGTAGTAATCGATATTCCTATAACACCGGTATCCCATCACCACCCAATACAAACATGAAAATTGGTCACATTCACTCCACCCTTGAGCCAGAGTATTCGATGTTCTTCAGGGCAGGGTTGAACCTACTCCATTTTCTAATCATTTACTAATACCACATGCAAAACACCCTAAATATTGAAGGAAGATGGTATGAGAAAAAGGGTTTAAATGTAAATGTATCTTATATCCTTCACAAATAGAAAGAAATTCAAATTCTGAACTCCTCCTAGAAAAGGTGAAACTTTAACTTTCTCTAAAGAAATAAAGCCAGTGCTCTATTAAGCAACTATGCAGTAAAAATTGGGGATAAACCCCAAAATGGCATGCTGGTTATACACAACAGGGAGCCCTTGGTCATATATGGAGCTCTATATGGTGGCCAAAAACACTAAATTAGAGGACACAGATCAAACTACAAAGTCTACAAAAACTAGCATGCCTCAATATTACAGGGGCAATACATATCTGCCCCACTAGCAATGGAAACAGCACTCTACTTCCCACCCTTCACGCCTATGTACACAAGGAGGCTTTTGAGGGTGTTAACAGACTCCTGAGATACAAAGCAATAAAACCAGATGTAAGGAGGAGCCACCACAAAATTGTGGAAAGAATTAAAAAATAAATGAGAGAAAAACTCAACTTTGACAGACCCCCTCCAAGTGGACATAGATCATGACACCTTCTGGAAGAAAGGTGGCTCCAAATTTCATGAAGGGGAATAATATGGAATACAAATGGATCGAAGATCGAACAGGCAACAGGCACAGGGATAAAAAGGCCGAACTTCACCCTAGCAAATTAAATACAGACTAAACCATACTTGGACTAACCCTAACAATTTTACAACTCTGAGTACAGGAGTTAAAGAAATCTAAAGAAAGAGTTAATAAAGAAAATTATGAAAGGTGCACAGATTTACATACTCTCAGATAGCCAGGCTCTAAATGCATATGCTTTCAACTTCAAACTTTTCCGGGAGTGGCTAAATTGCCTAATGATTCTGAGAAAAAAATTACTTTAAAGCCAGAAACACACTTACCCGATGCTACGCCATGTGACGCTACCTGATGCAAATCCAAAGTCCGATTTTCCGTAAGGTTCCATTACCCCCGTGCACATCTACCCGATGCTATGCCACGCTAACCTACCCGACGCTCTGCGATCCCCACTGTCCAGATATTCGTCGGGTCGCATCAAGTACAGTCGAAGACAAAAGAACCAGACACTCATTTTTTTATTCAAACTACATGTATTATTGTCGTTATATTAATTTCAACATACTTATTTTAATATAAACCAAATTAACTGATTAAAAATTAATTACTTTTTATTTAAAAAATTAATTTTAATGGTTTGGTAGAAAATTAATCAAAACACCGGAATACGATTTTTATATACTAATATATATAATATTGGGTTGTCCGGAAAATAATGCAGGATTTTGGTATTAAACAAAAAAAAAGAAACTAGTTACTTTAAAGCAATGTTCTTTAATCAAAATAATTTCCCATACTCTCAATACATTTCTCCCAACGTGTTGGTAACTTATTAATNTTGTTTAATTATGATGGTTAGGAGTAACTTTATTTAAAACAATTAAGTTTAACAAACAATTTATTAGATGGTTGTGCTCATAAAATTTAACTAACAATTTATTACAAGGTTTTGCTCAAAATAGTGCATTAAGAACAAAAGATGCGTTGCGATTGTGATAGTGATTATTGTGATAAACGCTGTGGACTGTACGTGACGTGTGCTTGCGTCGGATAGATGTGCACACCCCACCAAAACGTGGCAAGGCGTCAGGTAGCGTCGCATAGTGTAGCATCGGGTAAGTGTGTTCCTGGCTTAAAGCGAGTTCCCAGACATGAAGGCATAGAGGGAAATGAACAGGTAGACCAATTAGCAAAAAGGGGCAGCCCTCTCACCCATGGGACCAGAACCACAACTAAGTACTCCGGAATGTATGCTTAAGTTGGAACTGGAAAAATGGCTTGTGATAGAAAAACTCCAACACTGGACAAACACTCCAGGCATGAGGCAAGCTAAGAGATTCACAAATCTCTCAAAAAGGAAGGCGAAGGAATTCCTCCCTCCCAGCAGGCAGGATTTGAGACAAATTATAGGCCTCTATATCGGCCCTTTATTGATCTTTCTTAAGAACAGATACAGAAAGGTACCGACTCTGTCAGGAGGAACCTGAGACATCGGTAGATGCCCGGTTGAACCATTAGTCTTGATACGCCTCGAGACGAGGTTGAACCCACTCCATTCTCACTAATAAACTGCATTCATTCAAATAAATTAACATAAATATATTTATTATTGTAAAAAATAAATTTAAAAAAACTTGTAAATGTTAAAATATGCATACTTACAGTTTCTTGTTTTTGGAAATTGCAAACTTAATCGTATACGATTTTGTATTGCCATCATCTTTAAGGACCTCTTTATTTAACCAGGAGCCATCTAAGTTGATAGCCTTCAACTTTTTATTTATCTCATCAATGGGCGAGCTTGTAGGTCGATTCTAAATTTTTTTAAAAATCAAAATCAAACCAGTTTAACATTAATTTAATTTCCATACAACAAACCTCTTTGGATTCGCTTTCATCTTTACTTCTATTGTTTATTAGTGCCATGCACTCGTAATATATCGGTTCATCTTTAAGATTACAGCAAGACTCTAAAAGGTTCTGTAGCAGCTGTTCTCCGTTATGCAAAGGATAGCCCTACAAAAAATGAAAAATGTTGAAGTTGAACATGGGTCAACTCTTTAATATTTTAAATTTAAAGCTAATAAATTGAACTTAAAAAAATAAATTTACAGAACGGATTAGGGCACACAGCTCTTCTACAAGATCTTTATAATATGATACACCAATCTGTGGTGGGCTGGGCTGCACATCATTTTGCATCTAAAAAATAAAATTGAGATAGGACATAATAAAATTATAAAATTTCTAAAAGGCCTACCTCCTTGTTTGTTAACGGCTCAATATTTTCAATTTGTTTCAGTTTTGAAAATTCTCGAATTTTCCCCCTGCTTTGCAACCATTTGTCTAGTCCCTTTCTAAAATTGTCAGATAAATGAGTATTTGCGAATAAAATTGAAAATTTTATTTTCAAATTATTACTGACACAACAAGAATACTTTCATGATTAGGAACTGGTGATTTGACTTTTTCTGTATTTCTGCTTTTCTCATTGCTCTGAATGTTGGTAGCAAGTCTGTTTTGGTTTATTTCTGTAGTCAATATTAACCAATTAATAATAATTATTTCACACATAGCAATTACAAAATAACATTTTTTGCATGCACCCCGTAATAGAAGTAATCAGTTTTTAATATACTGATGTAACTTACGCTGTTTCGGAAAGTTTAAGCGAAATAAAAAATCTGGATTTTTTAATTGCTTCCTTTGTAAACTGAGTTTAGTTTCCTTTGGTATTATTTTAGGCGGTTGGTTTCTACATTCTACAAATAGATAATCAAGATGAAAAATAAATAATCAAACAAAGCGAAAACTGCATACTTAATACAGTCATTTTAGTAGGAGGCAACACTTGTACATGCTTGACGACTAGGTTTTGTGATTCAGTTGAAGTTAATTTTATTCCTAAAATTTTAGACAAATGCGGTATAGGTTTACCGCCATTTTTAGATTCCAGCCTCTGTTTATATTTCATTAGCCTTTCCTCCCTCCATTTGACAATGAGTTCCCTGTGAAAAAATAAATTGTGAAATCATGTAAATACTTTCAGCCAAAGATGATTAGTATAAAACACTAAATAAACAAATTAAGTTAGACACAATTTTCTTTATAAAGAGACATTTCTTATTTAGCCAGACAGAAATTATCAAGGTGAGGGTAACCATAAATTCGGGATCACATCAGCCAGATGGGCTTTGTAAACCCTTCAACTAGAATTACAAGGTGTTGCACAAATGGCCAAGTCATTACAAACTCCTGAAAGAAGGGAGTTGTCCATCCGGCACAACAGTTTTGCTTTCCTGTCTCACCCCATTGTTAGGAAACCAATATAAGGAGGAAAGGTTGTAGACAGACAGCTAGAGACTCAGTCAGTTCAATCAGAGGACTCACTTATAGCTCTTATAAAGAAGACAGCCAGTGAGATGAGTCGACTAGTCAACTGTCAAGTGTCTGTAAAGGGGCAGAAAGGATTAAGGACCCAGTCAGCCAGAGCCAGAAAGGAGACAGCCAGTGAGACAAGTCAAATATAGTTGACTGTCGAGTGTCTAAGAAGCAGCCAGAAAGCAGAAAGTGAAACTGGGAGCTGAAGGATAAGAAAACTGGTTTTGGCAAGTATCGTTTGTTTTTTTGCGATTAAGATCATCCCCTAAGTCAGAGTTGTTGTGTTTGACTAGTACCATTTCATTTATTCCATACAAACAATGAGACTGTCCAGAAAAATGCAACGAAGTGTGCTAAATGTCCTTGCATTGCTCAACAATAAGCCACTTACAGCATCTTAATTTACAAACATAAAGGAAATTATTGGGTTGTCCAGAAACTAATCCATGTTTTCTTTCAATCACCCCTCTATATAATAAACTGTTTGCATTTGATGTATTATTCTTTTGTAGGAATGTCAAGACTTTTTAATCCTTTACAACACAAAAATGTTTGTTACCTCAGCACCATTTCATTACTTCAAAACAATTCAGTCTTTAATAATGCGTGATTTTCGTGTAATTTTGTTCTATGAGTTTACACTCAGTCGTAACGGTGCCCAAACAGTAAGAAACATTAATGAAGTCTGGAGCGATGAGTGAACGAGAGCACCGTTCAGTTAGTTTAAAAAAATTTAAAAGGGAGAGACTATAGCCTTGCAAAACAAAGGACTTCTTCCCCAGATGATGATGCTCTGCGACCTTTGGTCAAATAAAATCCCAGAACGACAGTTTGAGAACTCGCAGAAAACTTTCAGTTAGCAAATTGAATGTCGCTGACCACCTTCGAAGGGTAAAAGGGGAAAGGTAAAAAGCTCAAAATTTGGGTTCCTCATGCGTTAAAAGACGCAGAAAAATCATCATTATGAAGTTTGCACAACACTTCTTTGCCGAAACAGAAACGAACCTTTTCTGGATAGAAGTGTTACTTGTGATAAAAAGTGGATTCTCTACGATAACACTAGACGTTCTGGACAGTGGCTCGACAAAGGAGAAGCTCCAATACATTTTCCAAAGCCCCCAACACATCAAAAAAAGGTGATGTTGACTCTTTGGTGGGCTTTGTTTTGGGCTGATTTACTACAGCTTGTCGAATCCTGGCAACACAATCAATGCCGAAATGAAATTAAATTTAAGCAGTGCACCAGAAATTGACAATGTTGAAGCCATCAAGTCAATTGATTCTGTTACACGACAACATTCATCCCCATGTCTCACATGTGACAACACGAAAACTGTTGGATCTTGGTTATGAAGTTCTGCCTCAGCCTCCCTATTCTCCAGACTCGTCGCCTATCAACTACTATTTTTTCAGACACCTGGACGTTGTACAACAACCCTATTCTCAAACTCAAGGAAGGGAATTAGGAGGCTGATAGGTATCCTGACGGGCCATTGCCCGTGGAGAAGACACCTCTTCGTAATGAGTATTTTACCAGACCCCTTGTGCCGTTTTTGTGAATAAAAGAAGAAACGGCACGGCACTACCTCACAGAGTGTGATAGGTACGCTAGGTATAGATTCGAAACTTTTGAAGGACAGGACATTACCAAATCACTCCCCGAGATAAAATGGTCCAAAATCTTGGAGTTTGTGAACAAGTCCAAGAGGTTTATGCAAGACACATGAACCGACCAAGTCCCGGACCTTTTAGGGATGGGGTACGAGTCTACCCAGGCATTTAACCCTTCGGGTCTTGGTCGCCCACCCTGCATAATATATATAAGGGTATGGAGAAGTTGCCATCACATTGGGAAAAGTGTATTGAGAGTGATTGAGGATATTTTAGTAAATAAAAAATGTTTAAAATCATTTCTTTAATTGTTTTTATTTTATAACTATAAGCCTGCATTATTTTCCGGACAACCCAAATAAAGGTACTCTGCACACAGGGTGTCTAGAAAAGTGATAAGCCTACACGGCTGCTGTGCTCAACCGACCAACACTATTTCAAATATATTGACAAATATAAAATATTCAAACTTAAAAGAGTCAACGAAATAACGAACAGAAAAGGAATCAAAACGCAAAAAAAAATACTTCGATCAATTTTTTTTAGGGAAATTCTTTATGAGAAGTAAAAGATCGGTGTTAGAGGCTGATTTGAAATAATCTGAGAGCTTTTGCCAATCTGACTGTACTTCTACTGTCAATGAAAGAACTCAAACATATGTAGTCGAGTTCCAACATAAATTCAGCATGAAATAGGACATGTTTATCTATAGATAGAAAAAAGAAACGGTTGAATAAATGTCGTATTTACCTCATTGTCTCAGTAGCCATTTGTTCGTGTTTTATAGGAAAAGATTAAATTATAAAAATAAAGTATAAGTTAGGCCGAAAATACAGGGAACTGACAAGGACAACCGACAGGTATTGGCGCCGTGTTGAAAAAAAATACGTTCATCGTTAGGCTCGAGCCCGTTCATTCAAAATCGATGTTTTCACCATCGATAAATAAATTTTTAAGCACCCATTATTATTATTTTATTATTTTTGAGCTACCAATAATGAATATTTATTACTGAAAATCGACTGTCATGGAATTGCTGTTAAATAGTTAGACAGGTTTTTAGCTGGGAAATTGTAAGGCAACTGAGGTCCAACTCTTGAAAGTCGAAACGGATTTTGACGTCGATTTTAATTGCTAAAGTGTCCACTGATTCAGCTTCTTTCAAAACTTATAAATAAAAAAAGTAAATGCCATCATTATTCGGAGATCGTGAGATGCGGTCTGATGTGGCGTAGGTTTTAGAAAAACATTTTCTTTATCGTGCCAACGTTTCGATCTTTATTGAGCCCTGAAGATGATCTCAATAAAGATCGAAACATTGGCACGATAAAGAAAATGTTTTTCTAAAACCTACGTCACACCAGACTGCATCTCACGTCCTCCGAATTGACTAACGGTCACTAAACACCACACAATTACACACGTAAATGCCATGTTTCAATATAAAAATGGCCCTCTTTTCCTAGTATTGGAGTAAACGGGGTTGTTCTATTGTATACAGTAACATTAGTTGTGTACACCTAGTTTTTATTGAGAGTGAATGTATTACTAGCGTGAATGTGTGATGTGAGAGGGTCGATGGCGGAATATCGAGTACCCCATCGACCCTTAGGTTATTTTTTATAACACATATGTGTAAAGGGTGATGGAGGAATATCGAGTACTCCACCACCCTAATTGAATGAATGGTATGTAGTGATAGGGATAAAAGAGGCGGTCACAAGGCCTTCTGCACGTCGACCTAATAGATCTATTGTGCTCCCCTGTTTTTTTTTCTTTTTTAATAACTCATTGTAGCCTTTGTGGCTTCTTAGAGTAGGATCTTGCTTGTGGTTTTTCCTGTCCTAGTTGCAAGAACCAGCACCTACATAGACCTTCACAGAAACATAAAATGTGTTCTGCGGTCTCTTCCTCTTCCTGGCACAGTGTTTCTTCTGTCTGCATTCCTATACAGTGCATATGCTTTCTTAAGTGGCAATGTCATGTCAGGAGTCCAACCAGAATCCTGTTTCGGTTGTGGTTGCGCTTCAGTAATTCCTTTTTAAGTTTTGCAGATGGCCCTTCTATGAATCTTTTCACATGTCTCATACCTGTGGTATTGTTCCACCAGGTTTTGGACTCATCAAGGATTTTAAGATGTATCTTCTTTGGAGGCAAAATGCTGCCACAGCAAGGTTCAGGACCTAGAGAGTCCAAGTTGGCTCCCTCTTTGGCCAACTATCAACCTTTTTGTTGACTCTACGTCCCGAATGCCCAGGGACCCAAGCCAGGGTCAGGTCATTAGTGTCGCTGACTTCCATCAGGGCCTCCCTGCAGTTCCAAACACTCTTTGTCTTCACCTCATATGAGGCTAGGGCTTTTAGTGCTGCCTGACTGACAGTGAAGATGGCTATCTACCTGAAATGTATTCCTAGCCTTTTAATTTCCCTGTCGCAGTGTTGAATCACTATGATTTCAGACTGGAAAACTGTAACATATTTGCCTAGGTTAACCATCAGTTTGGTCTTTGGATTCATCCTGAAGATTCCAGCCCTCATGCCCTTGTCAGTTTTGGAGCTGTCGGTGTACCAGTAGGAGTTTGCCTTTAGCTTTTAAGAAAGAATGTACGTTTGTACGAATGGGTTTGGAACTACATGCGTTGGGGTGTTGAATTGACCTTGTCAGCACCCACCGCCTCACAGCCCAATCTCGGGGGCTGGATAGATAAGACTAAGGTTCCCCAGACTGCCAACACCAGCGGTGAATGATTCTTGAGTCTGCCAGCAGTTTACTGTAAATAGCCAAAGCTGGAATTGCCGGTGAACTACGAGTAGCAAATAGGCTCAAATTGACACATGTTTGTACGTACATGTGCAGATTTAGTCCCACATAAATCTAAATCAATGTATATGTATTTTTTTAATCATTGTACATTATTTGATTCTTATTGATCGTAAGTGGAAAGAGTCGACCGCAAGCAGACCTTTTAAGCCAACTCCTCAAGGAAATTCTGCAGTCCTAGATATTAATGTCAACACCATTCAAATAAAATTACCACAAATTTGCTTTGAATATCTGAGTGCTTAGGTATAATTCTGAAATCCTATCAGCCTAATTGTGCTTTCCGTGGTTAGAGGCGACAACAGTAAGGACTCGATTACTAGCATAGGTTAGGGACAGGGATAAAAGTGGTGGCTACAAGGCCTTCTGCACCTTGACCTGAGTGGATTCTGTGTGAGTACAACTCTGATTTTACAAATCACTGGCTAGCTCCAGGTTGTTAATCAACCTCCACAGCATATGTACATCCTTGTTCTAGCTCTCTGCCATGTCTTATTAATAGTGAAATAATGGAAAAAAAGTACATCTTGATCTAACAACTTGTATAATTATCACTGTAAAACAATAAATTTGATATCAACAGACCATCCAATTAGTACGATTTCAACTGTTCCACGCCAAGCTCTTTAGCAAATAATTCCTGCGACAAAAAAGAAATATTAATAAACTTATTCTTGTATTTAATATTTGAAATATGGTTTGTGGACACTTTTTTTACAGTTATAATGATGGAATTTTTACATACGTAATGTAAGAGCTGATTGGTGCTATAAAGTATGCCATCATTTTTAACAGTTTCTTGTTCACTATGCCGTTCAGGATCACCAGGAATTAGTACATGTTTATTTACATCTGCCTATAAAATAGGAATATGCATTGTCATTGATTATATCATATACATACATATCTTTAAAAAAGAAAAATACACATTCAATTTGTGATTTTTCTCTAAAACATATATAGCTTTTTTTTCTATATTTGAAGTTAAAAAGGGTTAATTTGGAATTTAAAAAAAGGTTAGTTTGAAGTTAAAAAGGGTTAGTTTAAAATTAAAAAAGGTTTGTATGACAGAAGAAAGGAAAATATAAACCAAATAATTATCAAAATTTTTAAAAAACAAGGCAAAATTATTAAATTAAACAACCTCACAAATAAAAAACTATATGGTTGGAATCTGTATGATAATAATATAACATATTTATTTGGTTGTAAGTTCATACAATAAAAAATAAACTATATAAGTATTTAAGTATCTTTCAATTACACTAAATTTTAAATTTAAGTTTCATTTAACTGTACTAAGTACAGTTCTCAGGTTTGCTTTCTATTCTGTTAGTATAAAATGAATAAGTGGAACTCAAAATAATTTAAAAACACATCATGGCCTACAAACACCATATAAATACCTTTTCCCATCAAATCAACATGTTTTAACTTCAAATTAACCTTTTTAAATTTACCATTAACCCTTTTAACTTTGAATTAACCATTTTTAACATCAAATTAACCTTTTTAATGTCAAATTAACGCTTTTCCGAGTGGCCAGCATGAGAGACCCTCAGCTGGTAGACACCACCATTCGATTCCCTTCCCCCCACCTGTAAATGATAAAATAATCAACGGAATCATACTCTGGCTAATATGCAAGTTCATAAAGTCATAAAAAAATGTGCATATACGGGAATTTTACTTTTTAAGGTTATATTTCAAACCATCTCTTAAGTTTTTAATGCTTTATAGAAAGGTTTAATGTGAAATTAAAAAGGGGTAATTTGAAGTAAAAAAATATTAATTTGAAATTAAAAAATGTTAATTTGATGATCAAAAGTTATACATCGTTTATAGTAGCTTTACCTTTTTATTATATAGAAAAATCTCAAAATTTTATTAAATAATATATCACAATTATAACCAAAAATATACCTTTGGCATGTTTCTAAGGAATGACATCATATCCGACATCCTTTCTTTAAAACCGGTTTCAAAGCAATCTGGATTTATGGCCCCAAAGCACTGACCCAGGTTAGCTACTGATCCCGCCCCCATCCAAGCTCGAATTTTGTAACCGTAATGACTGCCTAAGAAAGAAAGAGAAAGGAATTGTTCATTAGCATTATTTTCTGTAGCATTTTAGATTATTATTTAATTATATATTTTTTCATTTTTGGAATTTTTTGTAGAGTATATTTCACCTGCAGAAATGCCGCAGAGTGCTTCGACCATTAGGGCCAACCCATAGCCTTTGTAGCCACCGTGTTCTTCTCTACCCCCTAAAGGCAACAAATTAGCCGTTTTAAAAGCGACCTCAGGGTCAGTCGTTGGTTTCCCTTCATCATCTTGCGCCCATACATTAGGGATAGGCTCTTGTTTTCGTTTTGCATATTCAATCTGAAACCGTGTGAACATTTCCTGAATTTTTCCCAGTATAAGGGGAAAAAAACTTTTCTATGAATGAAACATTTTTATACATGATACACCGATTATAATTTATTAAATTAATAATAATTCTTTTTTTACTGATTAAATTTTCTTCTTGTTTGGTGAACACTTAGCAATGAATACAAATAAACTTCTAATTTTTGACCCAAAATCAAGAATGAAGTTCGTGCAGATATCTTTTATTTAGAAGTTGTTGTTTTTTCTTTTCAAAACATATTTAATTATTTACCTTTCCAAGAGAACTAGTAGTGGTAGACATGTCAAGAACGAATGAGTCTCCATTCATTGCCGGTGCAGTAAAAGAAATTGGATTTGTCCCAAGAGCAGCCTAAATTTACAAAAAATAGACATAGCCATAAAAGAAGTCAATCAAAATATGAAATCATGATCAAAATTTTAATATACATTAATGGTTTTAATAAAAATTATAAATTTTTGTTGTCCGGGTATTCAGCTGAGAGACTTAGGACCGTGCTGCCTCAGGTGACCGAAATTTTCTTTGGTAATATTACCAATATTTTGTTGGCAGTCAAGTAAAATAAGGGTAAAAAACACAAGTACTTACACCTTTGCTTCTGGTTGGGCTCATCAATGGAGAAGTGTTAGTAAATGAGAAACCCTTAAACATATATGCAATCCTTTTATAATAAATATTTATTTTAAAAAAAAAATCAAAAAATAAATGGACTCACCATCATTCCATGCTCAAGAGCTTGCATACTATACCAGCCAGCCATGCCATAATGATTCGAGCCTGAAATATGAAATATTTTCTTTTACACTGAAATGAGTATTTTATTATTTATAATTTATATATGTGGGAAACCTTTTGTTACAACCCAACCGATTCCTGCATCGGAGGCTTTGTTGATGGCCAATTTCATACAAAAATTGCCTACAACTGGCCCCAGCCCATTGTTTCCATTCACTAAGGCTGTGGAACTTGTTTCTTTCACTATCGTTGGCTCTGCACTTGGATCTGTTGTTTTATTCTGGATATCTCTAACATACATTTCTAAAAAAAAAAAAATCTATTAAAGTCATGATCATGATGAAAATAATAGTAAAGTGTAAATAATTATGGAGCTTATTAGAAGAAAAGTATCAAATGCAGTATAAAACTATAAAAATTAAAGAAAGAGTGTTTCTCTTTTTAGGTACATAGTTGGTTGTTTTATAGTGAAAATAAACTAGGCTCTCATTTGCTAGTTTAATTTAACTAACATAAAATTTAATTAGTCTCATTTAATTTTTCCATCCGTTATTTATAACATTCACTCACCAAGACGGTTGAGCCCATGGCTAAAATGTCCTCTAACATCAGCAGCGACGAGTACATCAGTAAGTTGCTGTGCATGATTTGAAGGAGCACCGACGCATGTCAAACATGATTTCATGAAACGTCTCACATCATCGACCCTCACTCTTTTCGTTGACATATTTTTACCTAATGACAGAAACAAATGAAATTGAGAAAAGTTAGAACTTGATATTGGCAAATAGTGGAAAACAAGAGGAATTATAATTTATAAAAAGTTCAAACAAGAAGGATTCAAGTAGTGAACCTTGAGGAACTCTGGAGGGAACAGAATTTGAAGACTAGGAATATTACATTGATTGCTTGATATCAGCAGTCATTATATAGCTATATATTATATATAACAAGAGGAATTATAATAAATAATTCGTTCAAACAAGAAAGATCCAAGTAGTGACCCTTGAGGAACTTCGGAGGGGACAGAATTTGAAGACTATAATTTTAAATTATAGCTTTTTAATTTATAAATTTATATAAGTCTTGGCAAAACGGTGGATGTTGTTTGGGTACCTGGACACATAGGTCTGGAGGGTAATGAAAAGCCAGATGAGGCGGCTAAGGATCCTATCTCCAGACTTAAGCACCAACCTGTCCTCAGATGCTAAAAACATGATTAAAAGAAGGTGGCAGCATCAAAGGGGTGGATCGATAGAAAAGCTTTCGCCTATCAATAACACTGTCAATAGGGAGCCCTTGTAGGATCTATCTCATAGAAGAATGGTTATCCTCATCCGTTTAAGCATAGGCCATGTGCTGACACACAGACACTTACTTTTAGGCCAAAACCCGTGTATGTGTCTGGCATGCAGAAAAAGGGGCTGCTCGATGTGATGATGATTCTAATTGAAGAGTGCAATTCCTTGGCTCCTTACAGAGAGCACGCAGGAATAACACCCGATTTGAGAATTGTGCTCGAGCAGTGATATTTGGATCTCCTGTTCCAATCTCGGAGGAAACGGGGTTGTTCTGTTGTATAAGTAATAGTCATTGTGTGTACCTACCGTTGAGAGTGAATGTCTTTATTAGCATGAATGTGTGATTTGAGAGGGTCGATGGCGGAATATCGAGTACCCCATCAATTAGGTTAGTTGTACAATACGAGTAAAGGGTGTTGGAGGAATATTTATTTTATTTATTTATTTTAAAGGTGCAGATAGGTTTATGCCCCCTTACTTGTATTTATATCTGAAATAAATTAAGTTTTTTAAACATAGTAAAATAATAATAACAGCAATAATAATAATAAAACATTAAATAATACTGTTTACGCCGGAGAGAATTTTATTCATTTTTTTTTTAAATTTTGTTTATTTGTTCAAATATCCATGGAGACGAAAAACAAAAAAAAGGGTCTCGGGGTCCACAGCTGGCCAGTTAGTATTGGAGAGTGGATGAACGCGTTTGTCTAATTCTTTTTGATCTCGATTTGTAATCAAAGTTACAATTTACGAGTACCCCGCCTGATTACAAAGTTATTTGTTTTCTCTTCGCCCGCTCATCGCTGTGGAATCACGTCGCCTGCAATTCTTCATCGCACATCATTTTGCTGTTCCCAGGTCAGATTTTTCCTTTCGGCTGCTCACATCTTCTAATAAGACTTTAATTTGAAGTGTTTGTTCTCATAATTGTTAAGTACTGTGAAAAACATTTAAAACCAAGTTTTTTGTATCGTTTGATTAATTTTCTGTAATAAGTCTCACTATTCTCTTTAATCTATTGACCCTGGCCAGGTCACTTTGTTGTTCAACTTATTTAAATTAAATTAATTTTATCGCCCAATGTATGTATATCATATTAATTTAATTTAGTTTAATTTAATCTATATTTCTTCATATCGCGTCCTGATTCTGTCAGGGAGTCAACGTGAAGGGACAGGTTCCGGCGACCTAGCAAAGGTAAGGAGTGTTGCTGCCAATTAAGGATAGCCCCTTCTTCCAACACATATACAAAACAATAATGACAATAATATAGTTTTAAAAATTAATTATTTATAATCGCATGATGAAACCACATTATGAAAGAAAAGCAGAAATAGAAAAAAGGAAACAAGGAAAAGAAAAGGAAGAGGGAAGAAAAAGAGATGATTCATGTCATTTTGAAAAACTCAGATGCCATGGACCTGAAACAAGCCAGCGAGGAAGCACAACGTACTTCCCGGTGAAACAAATTCCGTAGTCTTGACCCTGCAATTCTGAAGGATAAGGCTAAACGTTTAGAAGAGTTTGAAGGCTTGGGATATGTTTGGTATATTTGGGTAAGGAATGAGGGAAAATAGTTGATATAGAGGACATTTATTTGATTTAATTTTAAATATGTATATGAAAATTCTAAGTTTATAAGTGCTTAGAATGGTAAGGTTGCTGAACATGATTCTAATACAGAAATAAATATGATCCTTTGGTTCATAAGATCATAACAGTATCTAATGCAGGAATAATAATTAATTTGCAGGCGATAAGCAGATTGAGAGTCTAAGGAAAGTGAAAAAAATATCACTACAGTAAGAGAATAAAGGAATTATTGGGGAGTTAATAAGAAGTATTCTAGTTTTCTGTGGAGTGAAAAATCTAAGATGTCAAAGAGAATGGAAGCTTGAGTAGATCTTTTTAATAATAGAGTTCACATGGTCATGCCATGTAAGCTTGGAGTTAAAAATAACACCGAAATTTTTAACTTTAGGACAAAAATTAATTGATATGAGGAGGGGATGATAGGAAATCTATATTAATGGTTTTATTGGAAATTAATAAGGACTGGGATTTGTAGGGTTTAAAAGAATGCCATTATTTGTTGACAATTGGTTAAGAGAATGAAGGTCATGGTTAGGCATAGAGATAGCTTCAGAGATGTTGCTTGCAGGACATTGAATCTTTAGCCTCAATGTCATCAGCATAAAGATGAAATTGGGAGAAATTAAGAACTAATGGAAGATCATTTAGAAACATGGAAAAGAGTAAAGGCCGAAGAATAGAGCCTTGGGGTACACCAGGTGAAATTGAGAGAGAATTTGAAGCTTTAACTCTCTGAGTTGTGTCAGGCAGATAGGAGGAAATGAGATTAATAGCAGTAGAAGAAAAACCAAAACGATGCGTCAGTTTCCAAATAAGCAGATTATTTTTTATGGAACCGAATGCACTGGAAAAATCAAGTAGCACAAAAATAGTACACTTATCATCAATGCCTAAGCGAATATCATCTGAGATTCTGAGAAGGGCTGTCTCACGACTATGAAATTTTTGCCAGATTGAAAAGGGGATGTGAGGGCATGGGAGTCAATAAATGAAAATATTTGTTTAAATAAAATTTTCTCAAATGTTTTCGATAGTGATGGAAGAATACTAAAATCAAGTAATCCTTCCCCACTTATTGAATGTACGGTATGTAAGTTATTTAAGAATGAATGCAAGTACGAATGGGTTTGGACGGCATTGGGTGCTGAATTGACACCTAGCTCTTGACAACACCCACCCTCCATAGCTCAACCTCAGTGGCTGGACGGATAAGACTGAGTTCTGCCTCCGGACTACCAACATCCGTGGTGGATGATTGTCGAGTCCACCGGCAATTTACTGAATACAGCAAAACCTGGAACTGTCGATGTACTACGAGAAGCAAATAGGCTCAATCCGGCACATGTTTGTATGTTAGAGGAACAGATTTGAGCCTACATAAATCCAAATCCAAATCAATTATACATTTTTACTTATGTATAGTTTAAACCTTTATAAAATTTAATACTCGTATAAGTTAATTTTAAAAATAGGTTTTTGCCGCTTCTGGGCAGAGGTTGACGTCCCATTGGGCAATTAGTAGACAACTTTGACACCTGGAAGAAACCTTAAAAGCACTTTTAAACGTGGGAAAACAGAAAATTAACTTTAAATGCCTCAGAGCAGGTAAGACGAGTTTCAGAATAGAAATAAGTAAAAAAAAAAGGGCCGATTTTATTAAGGCGAGTTCCTTCTCTCTACACGATGTAAATTCGTAAGTATGGAACAAAAACCAACCAAAATGAACTGGAAATATCAAAATATTAACGCGGACTTAAAAAAATTAAAATCACTTACCACTGACAAGACGGCTTCCTATCAAATGTCAACCTGTTTTCGAATAAATAACGGGAAAAAAATTGTCCTTGATAATCTCTTAACTTTGTTATCACATTATTTTGGCTCTTTGTTACGCAACGGACTAGGTAAATTTACCTTCACATCATCCTTGGCTTATTAATATTCTATGTGACATTTGTGGCGAAATACATGTATTTTCAAACATATTTTGAAAAAAAAGTGACAACTTTCCAGCCTCTTGTTGGTGAATAGTCTTGGAATTTTCTTTTCTTTGATTTTACATAGCCTTACACCCCACATGATAAAAACTTTAAAGACATAAGAAATTTACGTTATATAAACTCTGTTCTGCGATATATTCTTCAGATTATATTTAAAGTTGACGGAGTATACATAAAAACAGTTCACCCGTAAAAGGATTAACAAGACAATTTCGCTAGTCTGTCGATATCTGAACAATTACTTTAAGGACAGTACAAAAAATCAGTTCACATCAAACTTCATCAGTTTCGATAAATGTTCATGTTCTTTTGAGTATATTGCACGTTTTATATTCACCATAATGCCTAAAAAAGATACGCTTAAGTGAGTACGAAAAATGACAAATTGTTGAGTTTCATGATGACAGTTTGAGTTGATGCGATATAACAATTTCTATTGGGCATTCTAAAACTGCCATATATAATTTTTAACGTTTAAAGGAGAAAAGCCACAAAACAGGATACATCTTAAAACGGATCTTTAATGAGTCTAAAACCTGGTGGAAAAATACCACGAGGCACGTGAAGAGATTCATAGAAGGGCCATCCGCAAAACTTTCGAAGGAATTACTGAAAGGCAACCGCAACTGAACCAGCATTCTGGTTGGACTCCTGACATGACACTGCCACTTAAGAAATCATATGCACTGTATAGGAGTACAGACAGAAGAAACACTGTGCCAGGAAGAGGAAGAGGAAGAGACCGCAGAACACATTTTATGTTTCTGTGAAGGTCTATGTAGGTGTAGGTTCTTGCAACTAGGACAAGAAAAACCACAAGCAAGATCCTACACCAAGGAGCCGCTGGCAAGCTGTTGAGGCTGGTTAATGACCTGAAGCTGGCCAGTGAGTTATAAATAACAGGGGAGCACAATAGATCTATTCAGATCGAGGTGCAGTAGGCCTTGTGGCCGTCTCTTTAATCCCTATTGGGCATTCTAAAACTGTCATGTGTAATTTTTTATGTATAAAAGAGAGCTAGAAAAATATCCAGGTATATGGACAGTTTTGTGCCTGGTATCTTCTGGAAAATATTCGTGTTGGGACATTATTCAAGCGACAAGACTTCCAGTCTGTCGAACTCAACAATACAATTAAAAGAGCTGGGAACATAGTCTATACTTTGAAAAAGAAGGACCTCATTTATTAGATCAATACAAAATTCAGCGCTTAGAATTTGCCCAAGGTGTCATGATTTGGGATGATAAATGGATTAATGTGATCTTTTCCAATGAAAAAAAAAACTTAATCTCGATGAACCTGATTGTTGGAAATATTACTGGCACGATTTGGGGAAGGAAAAAGAAATTTTTTCTAAAAGACAACTTGACGATGGTTTCGTTACAGTATAGGGTTAGTTTTCTTATAATTATTCAGAAATCGTGAGATGCGGTCTGGTGTGATGTAGGTTTCAGAAAAACATTTTCTTTATCGTGCCAACGTTTCGCTCTTTATTGAGCCCTGAAGATGATCTCAATAAAGATCGAAACGTTGGCACGATAAAGAAAATGTTTTTCTGAAACCTACATCACACCAGACTTCATCTCACGGTTTCTGAATAATTATCGATTAACAGTCACTAATCACCACACATTTTCTTATAATGGTGAGGGCTCTCTTACATTTATTTCTAGTAGGATAAATGGTGATGGATATAAATAATTGTTAATGGAATATCTTGTACCTAATGCTGAAGTTCTAGCTGTGAAAAGTCAACATCTCAGCAAGACAATGCCCCTGTCCATGCTTCTCAAGTTATAAAAACTTGGATGAACAGCATGTGAATGGACAAACTTAAACGGCCAGCGAAATGTCCAGATATGAACCCAATCGAGAACTTGTGGGGAGATCTGTCTAGGAGAGTATATCAAAATGGGAAGCGTTATTCGCGAAAGCAGGCATTATTCGATGCTTAATGACCTAAAAAGAGTCCTGAAATACTTGGCGCAAATTTGGTCGAATCAATGAAAAATTGTGTTTTTCAGTTGATTAAAAAAGTCATACAAACTATTAACTTAATTTATTAATTGTAAAAAATTGTCCTTAAAGTTATCGTTTATTGTAAAAATTCATATAATATTATGAACTGTTTATTTAGAAAAATCATGCAAGAAAAAAAAAGTTTAATTGTTCTTTAAAATGTATTACTTTCATCAGAATAATTTATCATTGGTAAAGTGTGTAAACAAATCTAAAAACTTCCGCTGTTCTTAAAGTTTTTATTAAGGGGGGGTTATCTCAAACAATTATTCATACTTATTGTGTAATAGTCTTCTTTTATTTATTGATTTATATTTTCAATTTTTTAATGTCAGTCGTAAGGCAAATTGGGAGGTGGTCTGAGCATTTTCAGGTAAGATCTTAAAGTAGTCAAATAAGGAGTCAAATAAAGCAGAGAGTAAAATGCAACAGATTATCTGACATCTTGGTCTGATAAAAGTGAAGTTAACTTCTGGGTACCCAAGAGAGCATTCACTATGAAGTTATTGTCATGGCAGGCCAAAAATTGTATTCCAATTTATTTCATCCGATCTTTGGAAGAAACGAGACAATCTAAAACTACTAAGATACGGGCCGCATGCAGCATCAAAAGACTGGGCAATGCCAATCTCTGCATTCATGTCTCTAAGCCGGTCAAGTTAGGAATAGTTACTAAAATAAGTTAAAAATAGTTCTAAGGAATGTTAAACATATATTTGAAATAAGGTTGTAGATCTGACCCACTGGCCCACCCAGTAGGAAGCAAAGAGATGTTTCCCACAAACTTGGGGATCATAGAAACGCAATAGTCAAACACTCGGTCCACTTAATAATGAAAGTTGAAGAGTTGTTTAGAGTGGGAAGGTTGTAGCAAGCACAGTTCTTCGAGCTGTGGGACACCATAAATTTAGGGTCATATCAGCCGGGTGGGCAATATCTTTGCTGGTCGCCCAGTGACGTGGCACCAAGGCTGTTTAATGGAAACTCCCCCAGATTTTATCTGGCCCCATAGTTTTTGATTTTTCTTTCCTTCGCTCTCTGGTTGGGAAACTGGTATAAATTAAGATGATCTGGTAATCAAAGTCAGTCAACTTGTCGAGTGTCATAGAAGCAGCGTTCAGGAGGACATACTCGGTCAGCCAGAGCCAGAATGACAGTGAGAGCATTCAGTCAACAGCAACAACAGTCAACTCAAAGACTCATCCCAGTCCAGTGGAGGATTCAATCCGGTGCAGTAAGCAGTCTGGGACTCAGCCATTGCAACAAGTTGAATAGAGTCAACTGTCAAGGACCAAGGAAGCAGCAGAAAGAAGATGATGGCAGCTAGGTCTCTTGTGAATAAACTCATCCCGGACCCACAGTTAGAGTTGTAGCTGACTAGCTGACTTTTTTTTTTTTTTTTTTTTTTTTCCCCCTATTTAAGACAAGCCAGTGAAACAATAAATGTTAAAAAATACATCTCTCTGGTTATTCTATTTTCGGAACCCTTCCTTTCCCTACACAAAAAGTAGTTAAGCAAGTACGCTGAATGTTCTCTTATCACTTACCATAGAGCATTGGCACCTGCTTACATCTCCAATAATTATCAAATTATCAACCTCAAAATCCTCCAAATAGTCCATTTAACCTAGAAAGCCCTCATCCTGCCTGATTGCCAGCTCCGTTGGCAGACGGATAGGGATAGGGATAAAAGATTTGGCCACAAATCCTGCACCTCTACCTGAGTAGATCGACTTTTATAAAGCACTGGCTATCTTCAGGTTGTTAATAGCCTTGCCAGTGACTCCTTAGCATTGGAACTTGCTTGCGGCTTTTCCTTAGTTGCAAGAATCTACACCTTCATAGATCCTCACAAAAACATGAAATGTGTTCTGTGGTCTCCTCTTCTTCTTGTGTGTCTGCACAGTGTTTTTTCCATCTATACTTCTATCTGGTGCATGTGCCTTCATAGGCGGCAGTACCCTGTCAGGAGATCAAGCAGAATCCTGGTTCTTTTGCAGTTACCTTCCAGTAATTCCTAAATCTTGCGGATGGCCCTTCTATGAATCTTTTCACCTCATGCCTGAAGGTATTGTTCCAACAGGTTTTGTACTCATTAAGGATCTTTTTTGTGACAAGGTGCAAGGCCAATAAGGTTTGGGGCTTAGAGAAATCATATTGGTTCCTTTTTTGGTCCATATCTGCTCTCTCATCACCTCTACGGCCCACTTGCCAGGGTCAGTCATTGGTGTCACTGACTTCTGCCAGGGATTCTATACAATTCCATACACTTTTTGCCTTTACCTCGCATGAGGCTTTAAGTGCCACTAACTGTCAGAAAAATGGATAACTTTCTGGAATGTATACATCTCAACACACTTCCTCCTGCAGGCAAGTGTAGCTCCACAGTTTGTTGGTAGGTGTATTAGTGTTTCCACTGCTTCTTTGCAGAATCTGCACTTGCTGTGTTGGGTTATGCCAAGATTCTTCAGATGCCAATTTAGTTTGCAGAGTCCAATTAAGAATCCTGTTAGGATTCGCAGTTTTTTCCGCCTTCCTTTAATGCATTCTGGACCTCTTTCATTCTAGTTCCAACAGTTCTCATATCAGGAAGCATCCTACTCACTCACTTAATGGAGCCTAGGAATGGCACCCTTCAATTAAATGAGACATATTGAGCAACCTAACCTTTCTCTGCATGCCGGCCACTAAATAATTGTCTGTGTATCATGTATGTCCAATTCTGAGTCAGGTTAGGATCGTCCTATGATCCAACAGTCTTGTAAGTAAGGGCAAAGTTTCTATCAGAGTCCTGTTTCCATTAGTTAAAAGAGAATCTGATATGGCCAGAAAATAACTAATGATCTATAATATGATTGTCAAACCCACATTTCTTTATTCGTCATGGATTTCACACACTAACATTAAAAAAACAAAAAAAAAACAGTTATGCAGAACAAGTTTTACGCACTTGTTCTAAAAAAATCTTTATCTAGGTTTATTGGTGTGTAGTGAGAGATTAAGGACACAGTTCAAGCCTTAAGGTTTAAAAATATCAACATCTACTTACAATACTGAAACTTGTGGTTTCAAGCATAGCGAATTTTTTAGTTTATATTTATAGATTGCTGGATCGGTCATCACTTGACATTTTATCAGTGTCGTTTAAGTGGATTTATCTAATCTGTCGTTATTAATTAAAGACCGACTCAAAAATAACCTTAGCATAATTTATTAACGATACCACAGGGAAATAAAGGCACCTTAATTTCATCAATTTCTTTTGGCCCGAATTACAAAAGTAATACAAAAAGTACATAGTTGTGGCAAATGTATTGCTTCATTGGTAATAATGTGAGTGATAAAATTAATACAATGAAATTGCCAAGTATGGGGTTGATTTATTAGTTTTAATTGTTGATACAAATTGATGTCATCGCTTTTTCCCATCAAATTAATCCTTTTTAATTTCAAGTTAACCCTTACTCTAAAGCATTAAAAAAATTCGTTGTTATCAAATATAAGCATGTAAAGTAAAAATAATTACATTTAACATAAAAAGTTATATTAAATAAAATATATGACATTTTTAAGTCAAATTAACGTTTTTAACTAAAAATTAACAATTTTTAACTTCAAATTAATCTTTTTTAAATTTCAAATTAACCCTTTTTAACTTCAAATTAATCTTTTTTAATTTCTCATTAACCCTTTTTTTAGAGGATTTAAAAAAAGAGATGGTATGAAATATAATCAAGTAAAGTTATATTTCTGTATATTTCCTTTTTTTAATATAAAATAATTTGGCTCTTAGAAAACTATATGAATTAAAAATTTTAAGGATTAAAAAATATGATATAATTATGATGATTATGACATAATATAATAATAAGAGAATCTTAAAATATCATAATATAATTATGATTATGTATTAATGACTATACCTTATATTAATAAGGTTATATTCAATGCAGATAAAACAAAGGTGCTTAACATTACAAAAAGGCGCACGTCGCTTAATTTTCAGCTACGTGAACGGCACAAATCTGGAAATTGTTATTCAGTTAACTTACCTTGAGGTCATCTTTACAAAAAACTTAAAGTGGTCCTGCCACATCGAGTATCTCACTCAGAAAACGTTAAAATTATTTAATGCTCATTCTGACAGTCAGGTTCAAAATATTAAAAAAATTGTTTGGAGTCTGAAAGACAAATATGTGCCACACTGGCTCTTTTTTAAAATAAACTATTATAAAATATTAATGACTGACGACCACTGTTTTAACCATTGCGTTGTCACCTGAGGAAGGATTAAAATAAATCCAAAACGTGGTTTTTTTGAGATGACCTATTATCCCTCCTTCAAGAAGGAAAAATCATAAGTTAAACTGTTGAGGTCGAAATATAAGAAAACATCGTTACTCTTATTTATGACTGCAATCCTCAGGAGAAATGGAGAATGTATTTGATTCAAACCGCAGCTTCGAAAGGATACAGGTGGCCGGCATTTCCAATGGAATTGGAGTCAAAGGACTTGTTTGAGAGCTTCTTAAAATTGGTTTCCAAAATCAAAATGGAAATTTCTGATTGATCCCCTGTTGTTATTACATATATATATATAACTCTAAAAGTTATTGAAATGGTTGATTAATTTGCTGTCATGTTATTTTAAAATAATTTATTGATTTCTTAAGGAGTAGTTAAGTTTGTCATCAGTTCTGAATTAATTGTTGTTTACTAAGAGTGATCAATGTATTACACTATTTATGACAATACATTACTATAAGAAAAACATGTAATCTATGTAAAGGGAACATGCTAATAAAAATAAAAGGATTAAAAAAATATAAAATTGATTTAATTTAGATAAAATACTTTAACTTACCTTACTTAAATAAGTACTTTAACCTGTTTAAAATTCAAATTAACCTTTTTTTAAAGCATTAAAAATTGTATATTTGAGATTTTTGACATAAAATCATTGGGCTCTTAAAAGAACATATACAGTTAAATAAACAGTAAAGGATTTTTCTTTTATTTGAGAATTAAAAAAAGATATTGGTTCCTAACTAACATACCAGAAGATAATTAATTACAAATAAAATTAAATATATAAACAACTGCTTATATTAATTCAAGATTTTCAAAAATATAAAATAATTATATAACATATTTTAAAAATTTGCAAATATATTTTACTTTACATGCTTATATTCCATACCATCTCCTAATCTTTTTTTATTCTTTAAAGAAAGGGCTAAGTTAATGTTCAAAAAAGACTTAATTTGACGGAAAAAAGCTTTATTAGAAACTAATTTATTTTTAATATATTTGGGTAATCATTTCAATTGTTGTTTTTTATAGGATTGAACTTGACTAAAGTTGAAAAAAACGCCAAACATAAATTGAAACGCAAAGAGTGACTGCAAACGTTCAACAATCTGTACCTGAACAAATGCTATGTTTTAAATTGAAGAAACAAGATCACAAAGGTCAAATATAGGAACGAATTCCTTTGATAGCAGAGATTAGTGGGTTTACAATTCACATTTATATGTAATCACTTTTGAGCACATGATTAAGTTTAGATGTTTTGTTTAAACAAATAAATCAGTCGTATCAGCCGATGTGTTTTTATTCTAGTTAATTTTTTTTTTGGTTATTTTATTTTATTACGGCTGATTAACTTCTTTTGTTTTTCCATATTTTATTTTAAGAATTTCAAAACAATATTTTACTGAGGCACATGCACAGGCACACTTGAGAGATTAGCTAAATTGCAATGCTTCCCAAGATTCTTGTAAGTAAAATCTAATCTTTACAATTCTTGGTCCTGATCGTAATTTTTATTGAATAAAGCTCGAGTATAATTCTTTACTTTACAGACGCGGCCAGAAATTAGCTACCCATTAGTAGCATTTTGTGCTTTCTCCATTTTATACCTCTTCTTTTACGATTGGGTACTGCTTCATGGCTTATGGTTTGCAACATTTTTAAAATGTTTGCCGATATTCTGCCTATGTTGGCTCGCTTCAGTTGATTCGCATAAAAGGTCAAAAGAGTAAGTAACTTTTTAAAAAAATTAATTTATTTGCTCATTACACTCTGTCTGAATATCCTATAAGCAGATAAACTTTTTAAGTACATTTCAGCCATATAAGCAAAATTTGTCAATAACTAAAAAATATTTTAAATTAAGTCAAAAGTGGATCAAATCAAATATTCTGTAAAATATGATTTGGAATGTGTTAATTTTTTTCTTTTAGGCAAAAATTTAAAAATAAAATTTTGTATGGCCTACTATATTCAAGCCTCGGCGATGCACTTCTGATGTGGGATTATTTCAAATTAGGCATGATAGCGTTTGCGGTCGCACATATATATTATATCGCCGCATTTGGTTTTACATCTCTAAAAATTGAGTATGGCTTTGTACTTTACACCCTCTGTATAATCAGTAAGTAGGAATATGTTTTATTTAGCTACCTTTTCAGATTGCAAAACAGCAAAATCAAAAAGCTCAAAGCTTCAAACTGCAAATAATTAGTTTTAGATTTTTTTTACATAAAATATGTGAAAAATAATGTGCATTACAAATTATTTACTTATAATTAAATATTTTTATTAATAATATAACTATATAATTATACAGGTATAACTTGGTTTTAGTTTTATATATGTTGATCCACGGGCTTGAAGGAGTATTGCAGTATGCAGTACCTGTTTACAGTTTTATACTTGTAACTATGGTGTGGAGATCACTAGCATTTACACATAACTTGAAAGTACGTTCGCTTACTTAAAAGCTAATAAAATTATTGTCATAAGGAAAAATTCTGTATTTTAGAAGGATTTTATGTGGATGAACAATGTGATCCGAGTATCTTCGGTTTCGTGGATGCTTTCCGATGGCCTTTTGGGAGTTAATAAATTTTTGTTTCCAGTGCCATTTTCTCAGGTAAATGCGAGTTTACTTTTTTAGCCAATTATTCAGATTACTTATGCTTACCAAATTTATTCTATTCAATACCTATGCATATATAAAAAAAAGTTTTCAGGATATTTAATTTAAAAATGTGGAATCAAATAAATTATCTCAGTTTTTATGAAGGTAAAGTAGAGAAATCAGGGGCATCGGTGGCCGCAATGGTTAAGGTGTTGATATGGTGACTCATCACTGTAAGGTAAAGGTCCTTTGCTTGGCACGGTATACCATATAAATATTGTGTTCACCTGAGGAACAGTGGGGTGGTGGATGGGTAAAAAACTTGAGGGCTGATATGATCTCATAGTTGAAATATCTCTGTAAGAAAGATTTAAAAAAAAAGTAGTGAACACAAATATTTTCTTTCTTTGGTTTCCTACAGTGGTGATTTCACTGAGTCTTTTACTGTATTTGAATCTGACATACTTACAAATGTTTGTTTTTTCAAAAACACTGGCACAGGCCTGCAACCTCGTAGTTGAAATATCCTCATTAAAAAAAGTATAAAAAAATCAACACTTATAAAAGCTCTCCATGGCCATTTCATTTGTCGCCCAGAATCCAATCCGATTACACGACATTTGAAAAATGGCAAAAAGGAGGGAAAACTCATAAGGTGGGGTTGAGAGAGGAAGTTGATGTCCGAGTGGATCGAGTTCACGATAGCTCAAGTGGTAAAGCAGCGGCGTACCTAGCCGAAGATCGTGGGTTCGAATCCCGCTCGCGACATTGACTTTTTTATCTCAACTAAAAACCTTAATTAATTGTAATATATTAATTGGTCAAGCGGACCACGAAATTAGTGAACTTATAAAAAATGTATGTGTATGACCATTGAAACTTACTTACTCAAGTTAAAATAAGGCAACTTGAGAATAAGCACGTTGTTGATTCTGGGGGCCTTTTGGTCATTAGGAAATTAATATAATATTGCCCCTTTTATGCATTCGATACACGCCAAAATTGGTCATCCAGCCCAGAGGACCACAAGTATTGGGCATGTGTTAAATGCGTAAAGTGGGAAAAAATGCATCAAAATAAATTAGAAATGATCACCCTTTTGTCACTGAGGGCATAGGCATAGGACTTCGGGCCTTCTGTGCTCCCATGCTCTCTCTGCTGTTGCAGCTCTTGTTCAACAGTATGAACAAATTGGGTGGATTGTAAAGGGTATTGGGGGACAGGAAATGGCAAGAAGGAAATTCATTAAGAAGGTAATGTAAGAAAACTCGTAAGGGTTGACTTTAGGGAGACAATTAGAGATTGTATCTGGAAGACGATTTTAAATAGATTGCATAGGAGAGGATGTGTAAGAGAGTCTGATGAATCAGGCGAGGATAGGGAAAAATATAAAGAAAATGAAGACTCAATTTGGGCAAAATTCTAGTTAATTCTTAATGGCCTGAAATCCAGCAATATCCTGGAGCATCGACATACCTGATTGGGTTAAATTTTAAACTAAGCCTCAACGCTATTGAACTGAATTGTTTTCTGTGAGTGGGACAATTGAAATGTTCACTCTTGAGTACAACTCATTTCTAAGAATTTAATACACTGGGTGAGCAAGCTAAGTCTGGCCATTTTGTTCATTATGGTAAGAAGTTGTCTTATTCGTATCGAATGACATTGATATTTATTCACATCTGATTGCATTCATCTACTTTTCTCTCATCACCACTGTGGGGAAACGAAATAGGAAATGTGAATAGATAATTTATTATTTTTAACTTTTAATTTCAACTACGAAGTCATATCAACCCTTTGTTTTTATTACCCATACCATCATAGCGTGCTAAGCAAAGTTCTAAATCTGTACTCAAAACAAGGAGAAGGGGGGAAATCCCTATAGGTGAGACTCGACAAGAGTAATTTATAATTAATAATTCCACCCCTGGGGTTCCAATGTTTTTGAAAAGAAAAAAGTAAAAACTCATTTGTCCACGTTGGGTTTGAATTGAGGGACACTTGGATTAAAACCTGGTACCCTTGTTTCAGTGCTCTAACCTTTGTGGTCATCAATACCAATGGTAATCAAACAATTATTAATTAATAATTCAATAATAATATTCCGGTGAAAAATGCCTATTTAAATGGTCAAGCATGTGGCTTGCTCTTTTATCGTAGTTTTTTTTATGTTAAATTAAAATATAATTGTAAAATAATTAAATAGTACAAAATGTTGCTTAAAACAAGTTGCATCTTTAATATGGATTGATAAAGAAAAAACTACAATAATTGATTCGTGCATGTGCTTAAGTCCTAAATTCAATCAATTACGCTCCTACGGCAACATGCAACTTAACTAATTGCCTTTGAAGCTCTATTTCTTAGCTTACAAGCATGCTTTTGTTTGACAGGTTAATTAAAGTTTATCCAACAAAATTCTGTACACTTTATTTCTAGAAAAAATAATAAACCACTGGGTTGCAGTTCAACATCAGTCTTCTTAAAATAAATAAATGTGTGTGTGTGTGTGTTTGACCGCATCTGCTTATCTCCTAATATGAACCTTTTGTATAAATAAAATTGCTTCCCCTTGAAAGAACTGATTTCTGTTTCAGTTTCTGATAATGTTTACTTACTACTTCGGCCAGCTGGGAATAGCATTGAGCACGCTAACAAAGTGTAAAGCTTAAAGGGCGGCAAATTGTACAACATAAAACTCTTAGGAATATTATAGGCAAACAAACAAAAATCTGTTTAATGTAAGAACCCACCAAGAAATTTTATTTTTAATAGTATTTCTTGACTTTACAACTTCCACGAGTTTTTTGGCTGGTTCAAACTGCCTTATGAATTATCAAGTCTTCCAGATTTTTCATAAATGGTTACTAAATCCATTCCTACTGGAATAAAAACCACTAGTTTTTCCTTATTACTTTTTTTTAACTTCTCTTAGAGCAAACTTAAATTCTTTACTTGAAATATTAATACAATTTCAAATAATCTCAGTGTTTTTACATAGTTGCTTTGTAGTAAAACTCAAGCTTTCAATGGCATTAAAAAATAAATAAATAACCAAGAATGAAATTGAAATGTTAGGCCTTTAATTAATGACAATTTTTTCTGTCTTTAAAGTTTTTTCATTATTATTATTATTATTATTTTGAAAAACGTGTTAATGTTGTTCCATTTGGTGAAATTAATGTGAAAACTAATTTACAAAATATATGTTTGAAGAAATGGAAATTTGTAAGTATTTGTAACTAGTCTTCCCTGTTAAGCAATATTGATTATTTTATTATGAAATAAATATTGATATTTTATAAATTTATATAGTTTTTATATATTAACCTGAACCTGGTCACTGTATGAGATTTTCTTTCATGGAGTCTTTTGAATTTTTTAAAACTGTTTGCAACAGTCGTGAGATCATCCCCCCTTGTGGCACTAGTGTTTTTAAAAAAAAGCCCATTTGTAAGTATGTTGGGTTTTTATACAGGGCTGCTGGATTCAAACCCGGGACTACCTTACAAGTGATAAATGCTGTGTCAATGTTAACTGACTGATGTTAAACTGTTGCGGCCACTGATGCCCATTTTTGTAATTGTTTAAACCATTTCTTAATGATCAGTACCAGTGCTTGTACCTATTTTCTTTTCATAAGCCTCTTCAATCTGTTTGTCTGGTTTTGCATAAATTTATTTACTTCATTCTAAACAACGATGTTTCAGTGAAATATTTATCGCTTGATCTACTGTATTAACTTGTTACACAACTGCAAGAGAAATAAAAATGTTCATCTATTCCACATTTCATGACGATGGATTTTATGAAGAAACATGTTGTCAAAGCAGAATTTGGTGACATAACATAACAGAGGTCAGAGTGGATTAGGTCAAAATGAAAAAAGTAAGAGAATTTTAATTATTTATTTTTATTTTTTAACGGATTTGAATTCTGAACTATCAGATTCCTCGTGCCACTGACTCCTCTGTCATTGTATGTATTGTAATAATGTTCTCCTTAGTTCAAGAGGAACATATAAAGCTAAAACCCTAAGAGTTATGCGGTATAAAATTTATTTATTAATCAGCCCATCCTGAGTCTCCAAACAACAGAAGATTTGATATACACTACAAAAGGGACATGACTCGATAGAAGTGATGCTTTTTTCCATCACAATTGTTTTCCAAAAAAAATGCACCACTGTACATTTCTTATTATTCAAAATAGAACTAGTCATAAAAGGCAATTAGCTTGGTCTACTCTAAACACAAAAGAATTGCCTCCTGGTCACCGCCCACGAGAGACACCAGTCCCACACTCGTTCAAGAGAAGGGAGTGAAATTAGACATATTAAAATGAGAAAGAGTTCAAAGTTTTACAATAACACAATCACGTACGAAGTTTTGATTCTTACAAAAGTTGATATTTGAAAAGGGATAACTGGTTTTTCTGGATTACTGATTCTGTCAGAATCTAATTCAGGGACAATGGAGTAGACATATTCCACCATTGGCCCTCTCACATAAACATGCTAATAAATACATTCACTCTCAATATACTCAAAACAAGGTATCTACCAAGCACTATATATACAATAAAACAGCTCGCCAAAAATTGGATATTCCTTCATAACACACACTATCCATAATATCTAACTGAAGCTTTTTTCGGTCAAATTAAATCTTTGTAATTTCAAAGTCTTTAAAATTCAAATTAACCCTTCTTTAAATGTAAAAAAAAACCTATGGGATAGTTTGAAATGTATGTAAAGTAAAATTTCTGCATTTGAGGAAAAGGTATTAACTGGGATTTTTTTAATCAAATTAACCTTTTTTTCACTTCAAATGAACTTTTTTTTTAATCTCCAATTTACCATTTTTTTACCCTCAAATTAACCATTTTTAATGTCACATTAGCCCTTTTTACCTTCACATTCTTTTTTATTTTAATTACCCTTTTTAACCTTGCATTAACCTTTTTTAATTTAAAATTAACCCTTTCTTTAAAGCATAAAAAATTGCCTTTTTTAAATAAAATTATTGGGCTCTTAGAAGACCGCATGAAAATTAATTACAATTAAAATTTAAAAATATACAATTAAATAAAAAAAAGGAATTATTCTTCTTCTAGTTTGATCTTTTTTAAATATAAAATAATTTACTTGGTAAAACATGATAATTAATTTCAATTAAAGTTAAAAAAATATAAAATAATGGATTCTTTTAATTTGAGAAATTGTCGTTTTCAAGAGAACAATTATTTTATATAAAAAATATCTGCAATTAAAAGAAGAATCATTTGCTTTTATAATTAATTTTATATCATTTTCAATTTGAATTGCAATTTATTTTCATATGGTCTAAGAGCCCAATTATTTTTTATTAAAAAAAATCAAATGTAAAGGAATTTTAATGTGTATGCTTATATTTCATCATCATAAAAAGAGGTTTGAAATTAAAACGGGTTAATTTGAAGTTAAAAGGGGTTAATTTCAATTTAAAAATGGTTACTTTTAAAGGGAAAAAAAGTTAATTTGAAATTAAAAAGGGTTAATTTGACGGAGAAGACTTTGTTACTCATTGTCCACTATCAGCCCGCTCACACTACATCTCATGTTAATAAATGCTTTCAATATACCCAAAACTATATATCTACCAATAACTTGCTTATATGTAATAAAACAGCCTTCCAAACAGTCGCTGCCGTGCTTAAGCACAATTTTCCGATGGCAATCCTATATAAAATCTAATAATCTATATAAATCAAGGAGCGGGATTGTCCGAGAGCTCTTGCGTATGAAGAGTGCGACGAGTACAAGTACGACCTGTAGATAGCCCTCCGAGAACTTGAGCCGGAAACGAGGAATCGTACCTACTCAATTAAGAATAGGTCATACGCAATAGGCCAAAGCCCACGCAGGTGGCCCTTATGCAGATGTTGCTCGATGTGTCCACGTAATTGAACCTTGTCATGGCTTGGCTCCTTACAGTGAGCGAGTAGCGATGTAGCCTTAGTAGCGTTTTTCTGGGTTCCCTGTTCCGCATTTTGGAGGAGTCGGTTTTTTATTGTATACAGCTATGTTTTATGTATTTTGTGATTATGTTGTTTGTTTGAGTGCCTGAATTTATTAGTGTGAGTGAAGAGGAGTGGTGGTGAAATATAGCGTTATCATGGCACCCTCCAGCTGTGGTGTATTTAGGGTCGATGGCGGAATTTTATAAAAGTACCTCATAGACCTTAATTTAGATTAGATCATTATATCTACGTTTAATATTGTTTGTAGGCCGATTGAGGAATATCGAGTACTCTACCGACAAATACCGTATTTATTTGTGCGACTGTCTCATAGAATATAGATAGTATTAGGCTAGATTATAGTTTACATGCCTTTGGGGCTGAAATGACTTAGCTGTACAGCCCGTGTCGGAGTCTAACCCCGTTGGTTGGGAAGTGACGATCCCCTGAGCATCTGGCTTAAGGGAATACTGGCGACCCAGCCACATAAGGGGGTTGGTTTAAAAAAATATTATTATAAAATATTATCTGATTCACAACATTATACGGCTACAGCCACAGGCTCGATCGTCCACATTTTTGTGGACTTTCACTGTGCATTCAACTCACTCTAGCATAAACTCTGGGCAAAACTTTTTAATCTAGGCATCAGTTCAAAACTAATTCATGTAATGAATAATCTTTACCTCACGGCGAAGATGCAGGTTAATCTGAAGAAGGGCCAATTACCTGAAAACATTAAGGAAACCTAAAAAAGATCTACAAGGATAATCACTCCGTCCGCTGCTGTTTAAACTTCTTTTTTTTGCCGACATTGAAGAATATTTTATGTATATAGCAAATGGTCTTGACATTGATGGATTCCTATGGATGTACATAGGTGTGAATGTATTTATTTGTGCAACTGTATGATAGAAGTTAGTTAGTTTTAGGCTAAATTATATTTCGAACGTGTTGGGGCTGTAATGACCGAGCTGTTGAAATTCCTGGAGCCTAACCCCGTTGGTTGGGAAGAGATGATCTGGGCATCTGGCTTAAGGGAGATACTAGCGACCCAGCCGTTTAACTGGGTAGGTGAACTCCCCTGGTATACCCTAGGGGCAGTATATTGGGAGGTGACAACCCTTCGGGGTGGAAGTCCATAAAGCAATAAAGTAGGAACACACACATTTCACGTATATTTATTTTTACATTCAAAAAATACACTAATCATACTTGTAGGAATTTTAATAATAAATTAACATAAATATTCACAAGGATTGGCTTTAATGAGTAGGTTGAATAATTCAATCATCAATTGGTATCAGCTGAGTTCGTTTGTCAATAAACTGGATTTGGATAATTTAGCCGACTAGTGACTCTTTACTTCAGTGCGATTGCATTTAATTTTGTCAAAAGGATTGAATAGAAGTGGAAAAAGTTTTTGAGCGTCACCTCCATAGAATCTGTTGGGAAAGAACCGATTGTCGGAGCCATTCGATTTTGGAGGAGGGCCGTGAAATTTGGCGCCATCCCGACGCTCTTTTGAAATTGAAACAACCGACGGAGACGGTGGTCGTCGTCGTTCTCTCCCCTTTCCACCCTCGAAAGCCTGTAGTGCTTCTGCTTGCAGTCCATGCTCGCGAACTGTATCTCGTCGTCGAACCTGCTCCCTTCCTCTTTTCCAGTACGGCCAAATCGTATAAATCCTCCCCCTTTGTCCATCTCCTTCTGCCTCGCGAAACCCACGAAACCCCTACCGCGGTTTTTACGGAGGATGTTCTCGTTTGTGCTCCTCGTACGCCGTCTTGGCCGTTCGTTTTCGTTTCCTTCCCCTCGCCCTTGCAAAGGATCTAAATCACCGGTTTTGTATCTTCCGAACCGCATGAAGTTGTCATTTTTCCCGGTCCTCTGAAAATCCTCTTTCCCGCGTTTCGCCTCTGAGATGGAGGGAATGCGCCTTTTCCCCGTCCACGGACTGAGGACGACGTCCCTGTTTCGTCCGAATCGAATGAAGTTTTCCGTGTTTCTACCCAAACGGATGAAATTGTTTCTAGCCCTGCCGAACCTCATGAAATTGTCCGCGTTCCTTCCAAACCTGATGAAATTCCCTTTGGCCTTTGCGAATCTCGAAAATCCGTCTAGATCGAACTTGATCTCGTCGAACTGCTGGCCGTCGGAGTGTTTTTCGTTGACGGGATTGTCGTCCGACCTCGTCGCCCTCGGTCCGATATCCTCGTTTCCACGGCCGTACGAGCCCAACTCGGTGAAACTGTCCGTTTTGCTCTTTCCGAATCGCAGGAAGCTGAATTTCGCCATCGTCTCGCTTTGATTGTAGTCATCGGCGCTGGTCCACAGAGAACGGCCGAAACGCATAAAATTCTTTTCGAGGGCACTCCTTCTCGTCAACGGGTCATACAGGGAATATCGGTTTCTTGAATCTGCCTCCCCCGTGACGCAGCACTGCTGGTGTATCAGCAACCAAGCCCCCACCAACATTGCACCGAACATTTCAACCTGGAACAGGAATAAAGAGAAAAAGAATACATCGACAAACGAAATCGCCCAAAGACCCTAAATTCGGTTCCCTGCACCCCAATTGAGTGAATTACGTATACAGTGTTTTTACACAACTACCATTGGGTTCGCAAAGCTATGTTGCCAATAGTTCGGAACTGAAACCTTAAAAATTACGAATGTCACTTTTTATATTCTTTATATTTTTAAAGTAAAGGAAATCGTTTCCGCTTCATAAAATCGTCCATCATCCATATCGTCCATCGGTATCATCCATAAAAAATAAATTAGCATTCTACCTTACCACCTGCGTCGTCAGCGTAGCACTCTCTCCTCCGGATCACATTTCAAGTCTCTTCCTCCTCTAGAACTAAGTTCATTTTTTTAAATTAAATATTATTTGGAGATCGTGAGATCTTCAGGGCCTGGGATTATTTATGTTTAGATTATACAAATAAATGTAAGATGTGAAAATGAATTTATACAATATAGAAATTTTAGGTTTAATCAAAGACACACTAACATTACAGAGAAAACACATACTTTGAGTACAAATACTTTGATTAAACCTAAAATTTCTATATTGTGTACATCATAATTCGGAAATCGTGAAATGCGTTCTGGTGTGATGTAGGTTTCAGAAAAACATTTTCTTTATCGTGCCAACGTTTCGATCTTTATTGAGATCATCTTCAGGGCCTGGGATTTACAAACATTGTTTAAATTTAACAAGCACATGTAGGATGTGGAAAAAAATTATGCAATGCTAGAAATTTTAAATTCAATCAAAGTATTTCTACTCACTCAAAATGTTTGTTTTCTGTGTAATTGTGCCATTCTTGCGTGTCGAGTTGAGAGTGCCAGTGAGATTTTGCTGTTTTATGTTTATATACGTTGGATTTTGAAGAGATGGGGAAGGAAGTCGTGATAGAGGTGAAAAGAGCCGACGATGGGAAAAACGTTGGTAATGGTTCGGCCAGATTATCCATTCAGGATTATATAGGCGGGGATAATTAGGAAAAGGAAAGCTAAATTGTTCAAAAATTAGACTATGTACAAATGTTTGATGTGTGGTATGTGATGAATGGTTTATATGTTATATTATATGTTTTGTGATGAGATGATATATGTATGTTATCGATATTGAATTTGATTAATGATATTGGCGTAGCTGAGACTGAGTCACATCACACAAAACATATAATATAACATATAAACCACATTTTTTCCATATCCTACATGTATTTGTTAAATTTAAACAATGTTTGTAAATCCCAGGCCCTGAAGATGATCTCAATAAAGATAGAAACGTTGGCACGATAAAGAAAATGTTTTTCTGAAACCTACATCACACCAGAACGCATTTCACGATTTCCGAATTATGATGTACACAATATAGAAATTTTAGGTTTAATCAAAGTATTTGTACTCAAAGTATGTGTTTTCTCTGTAATGTTAGTGTGTCTTTGATTAAACCTAAAATTTCAAAATTGTGTACATCATTGTATAAATTCATTTTCACATCTTTCATGTGTTTGTATAATCTAAACAATGTTTATAAATCCCAGGCCCTAAAGATGATCTCAATAAAGATCGAAACCCATTATAGTTGGTGGTCCGATTGACCAATTAACATTTTTCAATTAATTATTATTTATGAAAGGTATTGGTTGAGATAAAAAAGTCAATGTTACGAGCGGGATTCGAACTCATGACCTTCAGCTAAATACGCCGCTGCTCTGCCACTTGAACTATCGTGACTTCGATCCGCTCGGGCACTAACTTCCCATCTCAACCTCGCCTCTCTTATTTTCTCATGATCGAGACGTTGGCACAATAAAGAAAATGTTTTTCTAAACCTAAATCACCCAAGACCGCATCTCTCGACCTCCAAATAATAATCAATTAACAATCACTAAATACTAAACACTCATCTTTTTATAGTAAATCTCTCCAGAATTACCTGACTGTTCTCAGGTAAAATTCTCTTCCTGCATTCAATTTATAGTCATACCAAGAAAATAGGGTTCTATACTAAAACTGATTACGCTTAAGATGGGATGTAACTTGGGGTATATAAACTATGCTGTCTGTAGAGATCTAAGAGCATCCTCGTCTCGCGCGAGAGTCAGTGCTGGAAATTGATCCTTTTTAATTTGATATGAACCATTTTGAATTTCAAATTGACTTTTTTCGTATCACGCTAACCTGTTTAAATTTCAAATTAATTTTTTCCTTCAAATACATACTTTTTAATTTCAAATTAACCTCTTTTTAACCTACAATCACCATTTCCTTTAAAACGTTAAAAAAAACCTGGTATGAAATGTAAGCACTTAAGTAAAATTCCTGCGTTTGAAAAAAAAAAATTGTATACAAATATTCAATAACTGGTCTCTTAGAAAGCATATGCAAATTAATTAAAGTAAAAATTAAAAATGATATAAAATAAAAACTATAAAAAATTAATCTTCTTTTAATTTGAGATTTTCTTAAATATAGATTATCTCCGTAAAATTAATCATTTTGTAATTTGTAATTTGAAATTTCAATTTGATTTTAATTTTTTGAATTTTTTTAAATTTTAATTTTAAATTTCAATAATTAATTTATTTAATCATCAAGTTAACTCTTTTTCGCATTAATTTAACCCTTTTAAATTTCAAATTAATCTTTTTGTCCTACAAATTAACCATTTTTAACTTCATAACCCTTGTTAATTTTAAATTAACCTTTTTAACCTACAATTACCCTTTTATTTAAAACGTTAAAAAACCTAGGGAGGAGATGGTATGAAAGGTAAATAAAAGTAAAATTCGTGCATTTGAAAAAAAAATTAAAAAATTAATAAACGCGCTCTTAGAACGCCATATGGAAATGATATACAATTAATATTAAAAGATATATAATAAAAATATAAAAACAAATTATTCTTCATTTAATTTGAGATTTTTTAGTAGAGCTATTTTTCATTAAATTGATCCTTTTTAATTTGATATTAACTTTTTTGAATTTCAACTTTTTTCGTATCACGTACAATTACCCCTTTCTGTAAAGGGTTATAAAAACTAGGAGATGGTGTGGAATGTAAGCACTAAAAGAAAAATTTTTGCTTATAAAAAAAAATAATTTAACTTAATAATTGAGCTTTTGGAAGACAATATGAAAATTAATTATGATTAAAATGAAAAATTATATAAAATTAAATATAAAAACAGACTTTTTCAATTTGAGGTTTATAAAAATATAATTAAGCTCTTGAATATCACAATTTCTGTAATTAAAAGAAGAATCGTTTGGCTTTATATTTTATTTTATCTATTTTAAATTTTAATTGTAATTAATTTTTATATGTTCTTCTAAGAGCCCAATTATTTTATATATAAAAAAAAAAGGTCAAATACACCGTTTATTTTACAAGACAATTTTACTTTACATGCTTACATGCTTCGAAGTTTTTTAATACTTTAAAGAACGGGTAAAATTGAAATTAAAAAAAGGGTTAATTTGAAGTTTGAAAAAGGCTAATTGACGAAAAAATCTAAAGTACAAATTTGGCAAGTTGTGATTGGTCCGTTGTTAATATGTTTTGTTTATCGTCTTTGTTAGATAAATTATTATTTTTTTTTTTTTTACGAGGGTTCGCAACAGCACAGGTCATATCAACCCTCGGGGTGTCGGTGTTTTTGAAAAAGTAAGTATGTCGGGTTCGAATGCAGGGCTGCTGGCTTCGAACCCGGGACCTTTACCTTAAGTGATGAGCGCCGTGTCAACACCTAAACCGTTGCGGCCACCGACGCCCAAAGAGATTATTATTGTCAGTAGTACTAATTATTTTTGTTTATTACCCTTTCCTCTTACTATAATTATCTTCCCTAGTATATTTCTATAACTGTTCCAATAAACAAAAATAAAATAAAATAAAATAAAAAATTGATCCTTTGTACTTTGCATGAAGAGGTGGTGAACGTTGCTCGTCAGCATTATTCATGCAGTTCGGCTGGCCAATCTTCCAATGATGTCCCAAAGTCGGTTACTTTTGAGGTGTCCTCTGAAAGAAAAAAGTTTTATTTTTTATACATTACATTAATTATCCTTTGTAGATACTTTTAACCTAACCACCGGTCCAATTTTTCCCTGTTTATTCGCAGCCCCCCCCCCCCAACCACAAAATTTAAACAAAAATAGTATTTATGAAGATTAAGCATAAGGAATTTTGATTTTTTTAAAATAATAAATAAAAATTAATTTAAAAAAGTTTTTTTTTGTTTGTTTGTGTGACTTTTAAAATGTTAGATGTTTTTTGCATGTTGCAACATCAGGTGAAAATTGACCAGCTCTCTGCGTCCCCTTTTCAGATGACCATTTATATTTCTTACGACTCCGCCGCCTCCCAAAATTCCTGAAACATAAATTATAATCATAGAATCATTAGGGTTTTTATTTAATTGTTTTACTAGTGCAGCAGCTGTTTGCCTCAAAGGAAAAGGACCCACATAAACCCATGAATGAAGTTAAGGGAAATGCGCATGATGGACGAAAACAGCGAGGACAGCCGGACCGGAAATCAGAAACAACAAATTTAAATGAAGCTATGAGGAATTTTTCCTTCCACACTGTTCGAACAGAAGGTTCCTTGTACAGAAAACTTCAATAATAATTACTTTTACGCGCAAAATTGAACAGGTGGATTTTTTTTGCAGGACAAGTTAAAATGTTCCTTTACACTGCTTCGATTCAAATGTGATTTCATTTTATCATTAAAATAATAACTTAATAACTTGAACCGCTCTCGACACGTGACTGTACGCGTTGTATGAGAGCTATTCAGCATAATTTGTCAGTTGAGACTTTCAATTAACTGTAACGACTTGGTGTTCCAACCTAATTATTATTGTTTACTTCTCGTCTTGGCTGATCATAAATAAGAAACACAATCCTCGCATACGAGACCAGGCCCAAAAGTGTTAATCTCGACAGGCAGTTGAGGTTTCTGACTCATTACCTTGACCATTGAATAGTTTTCTTAAAAATTCTATATAATTAAAGTTAAAAACAGGAAAAATGACATTCATATGTAGAGATTAGGGATATGGGATCACTGATTTCAATCAAAGTTTTATTGGTGAAACTAGATCAAAAATATGAGAAACACGTCTGATCGTTTCAACCAATGGGCCCTAGGATCCGAGAAAAAATATGTAATTTCATTTTTTAATAGTTTTTTGCCTTTATTGTGTAAGTGTTTCAAGGGTAAGGGTGTCCTTTTTAGATGGCCGAATTTCTATGATGCTATTAAAAAAAAAATGCAGGGTACATCAGGCCCAGTTAAACTTCAAAATTCCAAATGCGACCCTATACATATGAAAACTCCTGACAGAGGATTTAAAGGATTTTTACGCTGAAAACAATGGTGTAATTGGA